CAAGTGCGCCAGGTGAGTCTTCATTCGACTCCAATGCCATTACGGATACGCCCAACTCTTGGAGACGGGCGAGGAATTAAGCTGGTGAAAGACAAAACGGATGATGGGCGTATCTGACCTGTGGTTGTCTTGATGGTCTGGAGTGGCCGTGAAGGCTTGAGATTTGGTACCAGCACCGCTACTATGCCAGTATGATACAATGCACCGAACGGTCCCTGCGATTTGGCTCCGCTCTGAAGCATCTTCGCTACTGGCCAAAGCATGAAGTCTTGAGAGTCGCGCAAAGCACCGGCGTTGAGCGCCTTGCACAGGGTCCCTCCTTGAGGGACCTTAAAACGACCTCAAGGGCTTAGACCTGCAGCAATTCAATGACAAAGCTTGAATCTTCAAATGATATCAAATGATCAAATTTCCAAAAGGGTCCTCTCCGCTTTAGCAGCTGAGTAGGTTCAAGCAAAACATTCAAGCTTCGCTTTTTAGCTGTGTCAGCTTCATTTGGCAGGCCTATGTTATCAGATCCCACCAATTACGAGGTGCCATGTAGAGTTTGTCTCTGACGGCGGCTTTGCCCAGTTTGCAGCCACGTGGGAAGCACGTGTGCAACAAGCACAAGCGATCACACAGCGGCTTGCATTTTCTGCCAAACTGGAAGGCTGCATGCATCTTCCCACACACAACAAAGTAATTACAAACAAACCACCACTCTGAGGAAGCAAACAAAATGCCTCGAGCCTTAAGCATACTTCAAATTGGAGTATGACTAGGGTTCCAGATTTCCAGAGTCTTTGGCTCCTCACTGCAGAGGTGAAAACAACTCCACACAAAGACGAGCCCAGTCGCATGCCAAAGCGACTGTGAGAAGTTCCAAATTAATCCTCCATCAAGCTGTGTACCACAGCGACAAAGGTTGCGAAATCCCAAAAAGGGAACAGGTGTCACTTCGGTTTTCCAGCTCAACGCATGCGTCAGCTCCAATGTCTCAGCTCGTGCATTGGAGGCCCAGTTCCTTCCAGTTTGGTTCAGGTGAATATCAGAACATAAAAGAACGAATTCTGCAATATGTGGAGTGACGAGCAATTGGACAGAAAGGCGTTTTGTGGTGAAGCCAGCTGGGCATTGCAAAATCCAAGCCGAACGCACTTGAAAATGAAAAGAGGTCAAAGTGGCTAAAGCAAAGGAAAACAACCAAGGTAACTTTCCTGGCTACTCGGCTACTCATCAATCAGAGACACGGGGTGGAATTTCCACTGGAATCAAGCTTGTAGAGGCTTGCGCTCTAGTCCGCGACTCGAGCAAAAATGTTTGAACTCCTTCGTTTCACCATTTCCCGAGTGACTGTGACCCCTCATAGACACGCTCCACACGCCGAACTGATCGCCATCTTCGTAGTGAGATGGCGAACGGACAGATGCGCCGTCGCCCGCGGATACGAAGTCAGTCCTGCGTCATGAAAGGCCACGTGGCACTGAAGTCCTGCTGTCATACCGTCTGCCTGCACGCTACAGGTTCTAGCGGTTTGCAACCTGTGGCTTGGAGGAATCTGCAGTGCTGCAGGTTCTGATCATGAGTTTCTGTACGAGGAAACTCAAACCACGCTTGCCATCGCTCGCCTCCGTTTCCTCCGGACAAGGGTCGATCAAAATCGCCTCAGTGGGCAGAAACTCAACACTCAGAAGTGAGACTCTCACGGTGCATCCCAGACACTCCGGAAGTTCGGGCTGCGAGTGTCTGGAGATCCTGAACGATCCGAATGGGGTGCTTGGCCAACCTCTCCCAATAGACAACTCGAATAAGAGACTGCTCAAGTCGGATGGAGCCTTTGACCCATGTGCACTCCAAAAGCCCAAATAATACCTCCACCGGTCTTGAGCTCTGGGCCTCCATCGTAGGCTGGTCTCCCACCCCCACGATCATGAGACGTCCTCAGGCATGGTGGAGCAAAAAAACAGGGACACTGGCCTCCAGGCCTTCTCTGGTGTTCAGCGACTGCAAGCATTTGGCCGAAGCTGTCGATCAATGACTCCAAGCATCTGCATCTGTGATTCCACCATCGATCGCAAGTCGCTCGAGCGATGGAGCGATTGCTGCATCATCTCCTGCGAGGAGATCAAACTGTGTCGGGTCTCCCTATCGAGGAGCCCCAGTGTGTCGCAGATGCAAAATGAAAGCTTCAACATGGTTGAGCTTCGGACTTACCCAGCTCATCTATTTCTGGTGAGACAAACTGTAGGCTCCTGATTTGAATTGGCCACATCTAAGATATTGATGTTCAAGCGCTTCAGATCGCCCAAAGACTCTTTCACCATGGCACCATTCTCCTTAACAACGTCCTGGGCGTTTTTTATCGTGGAATATGAACCTCTAACTTGTGGCCATGACTGCAGGCAGCCTGCCCTACACTTAGAAGACAGAAAGAGCAACAGAAGGAGCCGGCAAACAGGTCATCGCTCTTTAAGGCATGGGTTTTGGGATGCATCTTGGGAAGGATCAAATATGGCATGGGTTGTGGCACGGGCACTTGGGCCACACACCTGGTGTCCCACGAAAAAGTATGGTGTCCCATGAACAACTCTTCATTCTCATCATTTGTGGGTTTTTCAGTGGTGGAGGGTCCCATGGTTTTTCGCGAAAGTATGAGGTCGGGACTGGACGTCACCAAGCTGCCACGACCATATCGCTGCGGCTCATCACAGTATTCATGTCGTTCTGGATGGCACCGCGCAAAAATTCCGCAACGCGGTCCTCAAGAAAAGTGTCCCGAAAATCACCTCAAACCTGGGAAACCAGACTTTTCAAGGGTTGCCAAAAGTTGGACGTCCTGCCTGCTTTTCCAGGATCCTGGCATTGGTTTCCTCAAACTTGCGTGCAATGGCCCGCTCAAAATCCTCCTGGCGAAGAACTTGTTGACTGATCTGAACCAACTACCCAACCTGCTCGTCTCATGTTTTTTTCCGTGCTGATCAGAACTCAGAACCACTCCACTCCTGGCGGCGGGTGTCGTTTCGGGCCTCATTCGTCACACGAGCCTCCTTCAGGAAGTCCGAGAGATTACGCCTGTCCAGTCTGGTTGGAACTCCGACCCTCTCAACACCGTTAGACCGTTGGGGCGGAGACCGTGCCTGGAAGTCTCTGCAGACCGGGTGACTTCCTGAGACCACTTCCACCGTTTGAGGTGGAACTGTAAATGTCACACCACGCCGTTTCACAGAAAAAAGAAAGACTTGCAGAAAGGGGTAAAACCAGCCGAATGCTAAACATCTTATTGAAGAAACACCAAGCAGAAAGAAGAATGAAACCCTTGGAATGTGCTGTACAAAGATCCAGCCTCAACGGCCAGTTGCAGCTTTTCGTCCATTTTCGCAATGAACGTGCTTTCAGACTCTCGGGCTCGCTCGATGGTGCCCTGGCCACAACGCCACAATGCGACACACGAGCAGACTCAAAATATCTATTAGACCATTCTTCCTTCTTTTGTCTTAGCAATGGCCTCCAACCTAATAGCAAACTATAGATCGTTCTTCCTTTTCTTATCAGTCGTTCATGACTTCACCCAACCACACCTGGACCTCACGCGCTTGCGCTCGTAGACCCTCACTGACTTTGTCAGCTGCCTGCACATCGTTACTTGCGTGAACATGATCCGGCAGCAACCCCTACATAGCACAACCCTTTTCACCCAAGAACAAATGTGAATTGAAGATTTTGCTGTGAGTCAAACCCCAACCCACCTAAGTCACGGTAGGTTGAAATGCAGTCCATTCCGTTCATTTAAAAAAAAAAACAACAGGCACAGAATCACTCCTCCCGAAATTCGGCATGGCAAAAATACGGCTGACCTGTTCAATGCGTACTTGCGCGGCACAAATCAGCTCTTCGATTCGATGCTCCACGAAGCTTTCCATGTCCTGATAGACGGACGGAAAGATGGAAAGACGGAGGACGTGTTTGGGTTTTTGGAGGATGTGTTCTCGTTGCTTTTCGAGGTCTTTTGTTGTTGGTCTTTAAGAAACGCCGAAGTGACCACACTGCAAGGAGTGTTTTCACGGGGTTTTGGGATGGAAATGGTCTCACTTCTGCAGGGATATGAGAGGATAGACCTCTGCAGGCTTACGGACCCTTGGGGGACATGTGGTTTGGACCCACAGCAATGGTGGTACTTGCAGTATTTGATCTGCCGAGCGAGGAAGAGCGTGGTTCCAAACTAGGAAGACCCCAGCAGAGTCCACTGAAAACGGGACAAGTCAAATCAAAACCCTCCTTACAAACTTGCTTGCCAATCTGGCCACTAAGTCGAACTCACAGATCCTCCAGTCCTTATTCTTGAGCGTTGCCTGCACCGTCATTTCGATGGTCTGCTTCAAGCTGCCACTTGGACTCCTAGGCTCCAAACACCCGATCGAAGCATGTCGCTTTCCAGGTGTCCGACACCGTTGTCTTTTTGAGTGTCTATTGCCCGACCCAAATTCCGGCCGGAATAGGTCGGGTACTTCTTTGGCTCAATCCAGGTCTGATTCGTTCCAATCCAGCCACAGAAGCAGACTGGAAGCTCGAGTGAAAGCGTCTTTGCGTGGTGGATGTTTGGCGAGAATCGACTGAGGTGCAAAAGAATAGAATGTTCGTTGAGCGTAAACAGAGCACATAATAGGTAGTTCAGGGCTTTTGTGAAGCCTTAAAGAAAAGAAGGACGAGCGGACGCCTGTAGAAAAGTCAGAAGTGGAGTGCATTAAGAAAGAGGGATGTGCAATAGTTTGGGGTGCTCCGGTATTCCTTAAAATAGAAGAAGTCAAGTAAATGTCCTCTGTCTCTAGTCAGACATAGCCGTCAGCAGAGCTTCCGGAAGAAGTCTATCAGTCCATCGTCAGCTCTTGGGCTCTATTTGTTCTTGACACATGCTTAACACGCTTGAGATAGGCCAACTGGTCGATGCAAGCAAGAGCTTCAACAGAATTTGGTCGTGTGGACACGTACCAACGCCAGAAGTCTTTGATTCAGGGACCAACTCAGCCAAGTGGCGAAACCTGATGCGAAGGTGATGGCTGTTCAGACAGCCTCTTCAGAATCTCCGTCTGGAAGAATTCGTTCTGTTGCTGCATGGCTGTCAAGGCTTCCTGACGCAACATAGGTTCTACCTAGGCCTGCTAGTTGTGCCAATTGCTTTTAGGTACAGTATATAATCATATGATGATATGGCAATGTCAGAGCTCCCGTTGAAAACAGAATGCACCTCTCTTGGTCAAAACATAAAAAAGATGCCAAACACCAAAACCTGGCCCCGACACTGGCCCGAAACTGCTCGAATCACGGCACTGCTCGAACAGCGGCACTGCCGCGCGAGCGCCTCGATGCGTTGAATGCGCGAGTCATCTGCCACCATGCCGGGCCTCAGCAAACAAGCTTGGACCGTGCTAAGCAGTCGTGAGTCATGCTGCTTTTGACTGTTGGAGCTCTTTTGACTGAGACCAATGAGAAAAAATACTAGCCTTTCTGGCTGAAGCTCGCTCTGAAGCGCTGGCAATGGGGGTGCGTATTGGACTTGCGGGTGCGACTCCTGTCCTGGAAAGGAAGGAATTCCAAACAGCTTGAAGAGAGCAGTTCAAAACTGGGAACTTGAGGCTTCAAACCAAGGACTTTTAACAAAGGTGGCTTTTGAGTACCTTCAGCCACTTCATGGTCTGAACTTAGGCCACATATTCAACGCATGCCCTGTGATCCCTTGTGTACACCTCGCTTACAGTGAAACAAGTAGCCTCCTTAGCTGTCTTCTCGGGCCATTCACCAAGGCAAACCATGATTCTTTAGAACATCCTGGCCTGCTGCCTGTACAGCATGGAGCTTGTCAACCAAGGTAGAGTTCTTGAGCGGATTCACAGGCTCCTGTTAAAGTCGCATGCTGCATCATGCTGCTCTGCTTTAGTGCCAGTGGACAAATGTTTTCTATAGTGTTATGCATTTGAAAGCTCTTTGTGGTGACTGCCATTTGCGCCTCCATTTGGTAGTGGAGCTCACCCTGCTCCAAAGCAAGCTCTGCTTCGTCCTGTCGCGAGCTCGCGAAGACATACGTCCATCCTTGCCATCTGTGCTTCCTTGCCATCTACTGTGGATGATTGGTAGGTACTTGGCACCTAAGGCTGCCCCAATTCCTTGCATCCGAACATGTCTCCCGAGTCCTGCATCTCCAATTTCCAGACCTGAGAAAGCTCACACTCAATGAGCGTATCAGAAACTGGCGCACAGAACAGCGAGAAGCAATAAGATTGCTTCACCAAGTGTCCCGTAAGCGTTTTTGAACTGCCGCGACAAGGTCCCAAGGCAGCTGAAGCTTCAAACATTCATCCTGCAGCAAACAAATCTGCCCATGATGTCGGTGAAGCTCACACAAAGGAATATCCCTACATTGCCTTTTGGTGTGAACATATCAACTCATATCAACCCCCTCAATCAGGCACGCACCTGGGAGAGACACTCCAAATGCCGGAGCGAAGTCACATTTGAGTGTTGCAGCAACCTCAGTCCAAAATAGCATCGACTGGTACTACAGGCTTGACGGTCTTGGCATATTGAAATGATGTTAAAGTCAAAATTATGTATAATTTTTTTTATGAATATAACTATAACTTATGATATCAAAGACTTTGAAACATCCTCATCATCCTTTACAAGCAGTGGAAAGCAGGAAAATGACAGGTGGTGCTTAAAAATGGTGCAGATTGCTATATATCTACTCCAAGCTGATTCGAGGTTGGGGAGTGGAAGAAAGCGGCCTCCTATCGGCCTCCGCTGGGCCTCCGGGCCGCAGAAAGCGTTCCGAGTTCTGCGCCATCCCCAGGAAGTTCCTGTTTTGTTCCGCCAGGACGTGACACTCAAAAAACCCTCGGACATGACCTCATCCTTGGATAATCCTATCGGATAAACCACCTGCTTACTCTGAAGAAAGGACCGATCCCCAAGGGACAATGCTCCAAACTGATGAAACAATGAAACAGGTTCAAAACTCTTGATGCACAGGATGAACTGCAGTTTGGCCACATGGTCTCGACCACAAGCGCACCCATTTCGCTCTGGGCCTTCTCCTGAAGTCGATGAAATGTCATGCCGCAGGTCAAAAACCACAAACTGGACATGTGTGCAAGGTCCAAACTCCAGAGCAGCAACCCTCCCTTTGGGACAAAAGTCCTGTTAGAGTGGACGCCCATCAAACCAACCAAGTTTTAGACTCGACTGTGACCCATATGATTATATAGATTGTTACAGAATGATCAAAAGAATGCCAAGCTGCAGCTTGCTTGGACTGTGCCAAGGCCATGCCAGACAGGGGTGGAGTGATGGTGCCATCAGCATTCACAGTGGGGCCTGCCCGAAACTGCTTGCAATGGCGAACATGGACATGGCAAAAAGTGTTGTCAACGTTGAGGCTTCAAAGTTGCTCAATGCACTTTATTACAGTCTTGCAGGTGACAATGTTGGTCTCCGAAAGCAGCAGTGCTGGGGTCTAAGGGCACGATGCCTTTTGGAGCAGCACTCTGCACTCCAGCGAACTCGCGTTTCACCTTCAATCTGTTGCAATAGTTGTCCTGTCGCCATTGGGCCAGTTCTGCCAAAACCGGTAGATTAGATTGCTTCAATCGCTGTCCTTGATCCTTTGAATGTAGAAAATGAAGGTGAACTTGGAAACTATATTGAGAAAGGCCCAGCCAACCTGCCCACAGCCCATAGCCCACACACCAAAGAAGTGTCAGCATCGGTCGCAAAACATGCTAGTCTGCGAAATGCAAATAACTTGCACTGCAACAGAGTCTTATCAACCCCCACAACTGCCACTGCGACATGTACAAGTACTATGACTATATGTGTACTGTATGTACATATGATATATACTGTATACGTTGTGTGACCAGCGCGCTGCTGATACCTGCTGATTCTGCGTTCAAACTTCTGCGGCTGTTGATACGTTCCAACGACTTCAACTTTGACGGGTCAATCTCTGCAGCGAACCACTGACGTTGAATCCGCTATGCTGCAGCTCTCACATGGCTTCTGCTTGTGTAGTCAAAATGTGGTCCCTGGCAAAGCAATGCTTCTTGGTAAATTTGACAATCTCATAGAGGGATTTACAATCTTTCTCTCTGAATAAGGTTGGTCGGGCATCTTGACAATCGTGAAGCGTTCGTGAAGCCAATCTTGTGCTCATTAGGTGTCCAAACTTGATTGGCTACAAGTCATCCCAATTGCCGTCTTCAGATGTTGCCCTCGCAATCTACGGCTGGTTTGTTTGCTTTAGTTATTCATACACCTGCAATATGAGCTTTTTCATTCTGCCCGCTGCCCCTCTGTCAAAGGTCAATCAAGCATAGCTGCCTGGACAAAGAGGACGTCGTTGATGATTCCTTGACTTCAGGAGTGGAGTCAAACCATTCTTTGCCGCAATAAAACGAATCTTTGCTTCAGCAACTGCACCCTTCCTTTTGTGTCACAAGTGTTTCCACATGACACGGCCCAAAACATCTCACACGCACTAAGCTCGCTCCGAACCGCGTGACGTTTCTTCGTTTCGCAAACTGTTTTGGGTTTCGTGCGCTTCGTTTCACGAACTCAAACGAACCATTCGAACAGGGTGTGATCGACACCCGGTGCAGCTTCAGATTCCGAAGCCCTCGGGCGAGAGTGCATAGAAGGTTGGAAAGGGAATCCACGTCACGATCAGCAAGATCGATGCTTTGCGGAACCTGAGAGCTTGCATGACAGACATGTAGACGCATGACAGACACCTGTACAGACGCATGACAGTGGTCATCTCTTGCTCAGCAGACAGCTACCCATAAACTAGCTGCATGCAAAAGACTCGGAGTCACCATACCTTAGCATGAGCTGCACATGTGTTCAAACACTTCAAGCTTGCAGTACAAGTTCATGCATTGAAGTCACATGCTCTGCCACATGCTTGCAAATCCGAAATTTGCATGTTGAGTTTGGAAAGGTAGCCGAGAGGCATCAGACACTCCTGCCCATCACTGTGCTCGATGATCTGCAAGCGATTCAGGAAGAACATCACCTGCAAAAAGGTTAGCAGAGAGGCATGTTGCAAGAAGCGCTAAAAACATCAAAAAACACATGGCCACTTTGTCTCGCAAAGTAACTGAAGCAAAGAGAATGCCAACCCCATATGCCACATAGACCTCACGGCGGCAACAAAACACTCGCCCAAGATACTCTGAAAGTCTCTCGCCCATGTCTGCTCCTTTGGGCATCTGGGCGTCCAGGCCCAAACGTCGAACAGAAGCATTGATGCAGTGCCGCAAACAAGGACAGCCACCGACCTACGCAACCGCGGAACCGGAAAAACGGCGGGAAAACACGCTTGGAAGAGTTGCTATCATATCCACCGAAAGAGTTTGAGAAAGTTGTGAACAAAAGAGTTGCTATATCAAAACACTCTGAGCTTGGTCATTCCGGCCCAGGCACAAGCCAGGCATCAGCATGCGGCGATACTCCGGGATCCGAGAGCCGCCCATTAACACCAAAGCCAGTTGCATCAGCGGGCAAGTCATGATCCACTCCTTGGGGAATCGAAAGGCCCAACCAAATTCCGTGGACTCCGGATCCGAAGGAGATCCTTGAAATTCTGCGGATCCAAACCGGTTCCAAGCTGGTTGGTTGGTTGGTTGGTTGGTTGGTTGGTTGGTTGGTTGGTTGGTTGTGCTTTTAGACAGCTTTCGTGCCTAGAATCCAAAGGACGCGAAAAGTCCAAAGTGAAGGAGCTTGCTCGATCCAGCAGAATATCATCCACCTGAGGTCAATCAAACTGAGGAATAATGTAAACGATTCTTGATTGATAGAACTCCCCTTTGGATTGCAAAACCTCTTCATATGGGTTGATCAATTAATCAAGCTGCCTACCTCATGTCATATTCAATGAGGGCTACGACTCGTCTGAAAGCAACGAATCTAACCTCGGTGAGCTGGAAGAAGTTGAAGAATGCTGAGAAAGCGCCCACGTAGACCTCAGACACAGCCAGACCAAATGAATAGTGCGAGTGCTCCTTCAAGGAAGCGGCCGCCTTTGGGGCGGCGGGGGAGCTTCCTTGAAGAAGCGTGAGCTATCCTGCATCCATACTAGTAGCTTAAGTAAGCTACTAGCTACCTAGCTTCTACTAGCTACCTCCCTTGCTACTACCTAGCTCTTAGCGGCCTACCCCCCTTAAATCAAAAAAGAACTTGTTTGAGAAAAATGTGATCTTTCGCAAATTGTGAGACCTGGAGCTCCGGACGCCCAAGAAGCAGCAAACGGTCAAACGCTTCTCCAAGGCTGCCTGTTTCATGTTCCACCGGAAGCAGCAAACGGTCAACGGTCAAAACGTCTCAACCGTTTTGCCAGGACCTGGCTCGCCATGGCTCGCCATGGCTCGCCTGCTGAATGAAGGAAAGCTTGGTGCCATTCGCCATGCTGAGCCACGCCGCCAGTCCAAAGAAGAAGATACCGGAAAAGATCTGCAAAGGGCCGGGCATGCCATTCCATGTCTCTTCTCTCTTAGAAATTCTAACTTTAACATCCCAAAAGTATCTTTTCCAAGTTCTACTGCAGACATCTCTCCAAAAAACTAGGTAAAAGTCCAAAAGAAAGTTCACCTTCTTTGGACGTCCCACCAAGTCCCAGACGAGTGGATTCCGGATTCCAGGCCACTCTCCCGCGTCCCTCCCACATGGATCGATGCCAACGAACTGTCCCGGAGCCTTGGTCACTCGCACCGCATCGTTGTAGACCGCCTCGTTCGTCACCTGAAGTTCACCTCCGTTCATCCAGCCGAAGCTGGAAGGAAAGCGAAGCTGGACAGGGCGGTCGGATAGCTTCTTTTCGAGCTGGTATCGAAGGCCACAACAAGGTGCACAGGTCTTTGGGGCAGTTGTGTTGTCTGATCCATGATTTGACATCACATCAGTGCTTTAGATGGATTTACCTGGCAATGATCCAAGCGACGAGGCAGCGTCTCAAACGAGAGAACCTTGCAAGAACGCATAGAGTTTGAAAAGCAGGGTCTGCACTTTGAGAGGTCAGGTTCTTTCTTCTCTTTCTTCGCTTAGCTGTTTTGCAAGCTGGCCTCAGACACTTCCATGATCCACTGTGATCTTGTTGCGTGTGGCGTCTCACTTTTGGAACCAGGCAAACAGAGTGGGACCTTTCAGTGGTGAGGAACTTCCCTTTCCGTTCTTGAAGTGCATCTGGCGTGATCCTGTCGTTCGTCAGTGGTGTGTTCCGCATGCGATGTTTATGTCTGCTTCCAGTTTACTGCTGTGAGCCGCAAAACAAGTTTACAACACATTCAGCAGCGGTTCCGTTCATGCATGCTCAACAAGAATCACCTGCAGGACGTACTGATGTGGATGTGAACTACGACTTGGTCAAAGGCATGGATGCCAAGGAGTCGCAATGGGAAAGAAACAGCTTTCAGCAGTTGCCTTCAAACCTTGATCTCGCTGCCCAGTCTCCATGGTGATCTGCAATGCCAAGTTCCAACTGTCAATTGTCAGCTCTTGAACACAACAAGTATGTCACCAAAGCCATTCGTGGAATCAAACCATGACAACGAACCTACTCTGGTCTCCTTGGCAATGAAAGTCCATCCTGAATCCCTGTCTCGCGTCCAGCTTCTAAGGCTCTGACTGTTCCCTCAACGCAGGTTCATTCTGTTGGGACCCCAAGACGTGTCTCTTTCCGAAATGCTAAGGAAAGATGTATTTGCTGTATCATCCAGTCATGTACTATCTGAGCTGCTCTACATCTGAATCTGTCTCATTTGAGCCGCCACAGCTTTGCAGAAAGCGTCAGAAGGCCAAGTTGGCACCAAAAACAACCCATTAACGTAGCTTTTAAGTTGGAGGCCATCGCTCTTAGGTTGGGGGCCATCACTAGTAGGTTGGGCTCTCATCTTTAGAAAACAGCTTCAGCTCTGAGCAGCTCTCAATTTTTGAAATTGCCACTTTTCACTGTCCACATGAACAGATTGGACCAGCCATCCTGATCTGTCCAAAATCTGCGTTTGATCGCATGAACCATTGGAAAACCATTGTCTCATGTTGGACTCCTTGGACATATCAGGGCTGTCCATGAACCCCCCGAATGCCAAAATCCAAGGCAACAGTGCTTCACGACATCATCCTCATGATGCATGGCCGATACGGGCATACCCTTTGAGAAATGGACTGTTGAGGGAATCAAAAGAGTTGTTGCATTGGTTTTCAAGAATTAAAAGCCTTGAAGTCGGCTCAAGTCGAGTCGAAGCACCACCAGGATTTCGAGGATGATCTGTCCCCCCACATTGGAAGGCATAGGGCAGCTTCCGGTGCATACGATCTTGAGAATGAGCTGGTATTTGAGTCCAAAGATGAGAACACTTGTCATGGGCAATACCATGTTTGTTGAAGGTAGCTGTTTGGACCACTGGCTCTGCTGCCACCGCAACAGAAACCGACCATGTACAACTGGTCAAAGAAACCACATTGAGAATCCGGTCCGAGCCAAACAATCTGAATCCGTGTCTTACGGAGAGTTTGGCTCAGAAACTGCCCCAGCAGAAACTTCATTCACAGTGATTCCAAACACTTCACCCGGACCACAGGACGCCTTGAGAGATTGGGCTTGGTCCTGTGTATCCGTGGCTCAAGCGATGAGAATCCGCTAGAAGAACCTGAGTCATTGAGACAGAAACTTTGGAGGTAGAATCGCTCTTAGCTTGGAGGCCACCGCTAGTAGGTTGGAGGCCGCTAGTACGTTCCCCTAACCCGTTGTACTGAAGAACTGTGACTGCTAAGTCTGCGGCGCCCAGACCATCAGCCTCACAAACCGCACTGGGCCTCGGCAAAAAGACCGATGTCTCATTACTCCAAACCTGTCACCGATACCCGGTCAGGGTTCAAAAAAGGGCATCAAGCACTTGGCAAAAGAGGAAATAACAACCATAATACGTCTGACACTGCGTTCCTCTGCAAATTACTTCAGTAAACTAGCCACCTCTAAGGTTAATGTAGTTGGTTCCTCACTGGACACTCTAAGGTCCCAGCCTGTGTCCGCAGCTGCTCAATCTCCGGTGAAACGCCAGGCGCACAAATGAGGATACAACATTGGCAGCAAAAGTTGGTTAAAGCTTTGGGGGGCCAACATGAAAAGTTGTACCTGAATGACGCTCTAATTTCAATGCCATGTGTATCTCATTCTCAGACCTTCACTGAGTTCTTTGAACCAGTGTGAGGTATGAATGCTGCTCTGCATCGAGAGGAGATGCCTTCCACACTGGGAAGGCTTTCTTCATACGGACTTTCTGCAACTGTCTCGACTACTCTCTCTTGGCCGCGGCAAAGCCTGATGGTCCTTCTGATTGGTCTGAAACCTGGAGGCACCCTTTTGGGGGGGAATATATAAATGGTGGCAAATCAAATTGGCATTTGCATGGGAAACGGCTTAAAGCTTTTTTGCTGTCCCTAGTCTCCCACTGAAAAAAAGGGCCATCTTCGTTCTTTTTAATATCGTTGGGGGATGGGGAGCCATTTCTTTGCCAAGCCACCTGTGGCTTTTGGAAATACGAGCCCGACTGGAAGCGGCGCTCGAGCCACTCACTCTGTTTCTGGTGAAGATGGATGTTCGGTGGCGGCACCATCCTGGCTTCGGCGCAGTCCGTGGCGGCACCGTCAAAAGCTCGGTCCGTGGCAGCAACGACAAACCACTCGATTTTTGCGCACACAAAGGGACATCATCCGATGACATCAGTGCGGCCAAATGAGGATGACATCAGTGTCTTTTTAAGTCCTTTTTTTTCTGCTTGGCAGTGGGCACTGCACCTGTCAGTGGGACATCAAATGCAGTGCAAATAAGTATCGAAGGCGTGTGGGAGGTCTGCAAACACGTCACCTCTTTGCTTAGGGGGGTCGTCGAAACATGTCAGCAAAGGGGGTCGTTGCGCATGATCATTCATGATCCATGGAGACCTCCCAGCCACAAAAACGTGCCAACGAAAAACTGGGGGCAGCTCAAAGGCTGAGTTGGCATAGCCGCACATGTGGGCTGCTGCGTCCCAGCCGCGCTTCGGTGGTTTCAGCAACACTGAAATTGACAAGGCTTTTATTGATCACATTTCGTTTGAAGGCGTAGCTACGAGAGGCCATAGCCATACCCAACTAAAGCGCTTCCATGGACACAAGTAATAATCTCCAGACAGTGACCAGGGCCTTGAAGGTTGTGTCACTGCAGTCTGAGCTGTGTACAATCGGTGAGCAGCAGTTCCAATGCTCATCCATCTATAATGCATTGCAGGTTTAGCCCACGTTTTGACAATCAGCATCAATAGCAGAGATCGTCTCCCTGCCAGTATCGCTGACAGTGGATTGTGTGAGGCTGGAGGCTCTCGCCTCGGAAATGTCCCCTTCACAGAATTGCCTCTCCAACTCCTCTCTTGAAGTAAACCTGGTACACTACCTCAATCAAAGCTACAACACGTCATGAGGTCAGCATGTGAAGACGAAGCTTAGAAAATGTCGATGTTGTCTCCAATTTACACGTCGCCTGATTGTTGCATCATTGATTTGTTGCAGCAAGCATTTGCCACTTTGTCTTTGAAACAGTTCCTATCGGCAAGTTGTGATACGCTTTGTCGCTCACTGACCATGGGTGAGATTGGAGACAAGATGGGATTGTGTGCCCCAACCGTAGCACGGTGCACAATGGTTGTCCAAGTGTCTGAACAACTCTAAACTATCCAACATGAATTCTCAGCGTCCACCGGCTAGATCTTGATGTCAAGGTCGGTCGCTTTTTCCTGTCTTCGTGACCCAACAACAAATAGGCAAGCACACTTGGCATCTGTTGCAAGAACTTCTCCCCTGTAAGGTTACCAAGAACTGCCTGTTGGCTAACTTCCAAGACAAGCCACCCTCTACATTCTACATTCCAAGACAGGCCCTCTAGAATCACCACGTCCTGCCTCTCACATTGTGCGCATCGAGTCCAGGCTGCTTTTGGCCAGCTCGAAAGACCCAAGAAAGACCTCAACCAACAAGCCCAGCAAAAAGAGAGAAGCTCCTTGAGTCCTATTTCCTTGGCCACTCATGGCTTTGTCTTCATCTGGATGCCAAGGGTGGTTGATACAATTTGAAAAATGCTAGCGATGCAGCAAGGCTATGTTGATATATTAGTGTGGCATTTCCATTCTTTTGCTGGCCCAGTGCGCAAGCACAAGAACAAACACACGAAGCAAATTGTCTGAAGACGATATGTCGCACCACATCCTATCTGTGTGGACTGGAAGGTTCCCTGTCGTCAATCAATCAAAGTATTTCGGGAAAAAAAGATCGTTAAGTCTGTATCAACGAGCTGTGGGATGCATGTATCAAGCTCGACTTTGAAAGTGTTGGCCAAGCACAATCCGCAGCAAGTTGAATGAACTGTTTTAGCACTAATCGATCTCTTTTCTGGTTCTATTTTCTGCCGGTATCGACCCCCCCTTTTTTTCATCTTTTTTTCCATTGCCTAGAACTGTCGAGCTTTTTCAAGCATGGTGGACCATCCATTCTAGCATGATTTGGCCACCTCTTGGGAGAATCTTGCTGGCATACCAATCGTCACCCCCGGGGCTTGCGGCGTGGCCCTGTTTCATTTTATCCAAGATTTGATGTAAGCAAAGGAGATCCCAGCCAATCAAGGCGATGAAGGCCTGAAGGCTTTTGTTCTTAAAATGAAGCTATCCGAATTAGAACGTGCTTCGGATAACAGGTTGTTCTGTTCAGAAAGCAGCCAGTTTTGTTCGGACAACAAGTAGTTGTGCGGGACGAAAGCAGCTAGCCGCCCGGAACCTCGACCAAGCATGTTGGAAAAAAAGGTACGAGAACCATCCCAATCCATCCCCATCCACCACCAACGTATTGCTGTCACAATACAAGTCCTGTCTGAGCACAAAAATTGCAATGCAAAATACTTTCTGAGCAACGCTTTGCCCAACGCAACGAAATGTTCCTCAAGCACAGAGAGGCGTTTTCTGAACACGGCAAGATGATGATGATGATGATGACGATGACGATGACGATGACGATGATGATGATGATGATGATGTCTATTCACTATGCAAGTTCGTAGACAAGATCAGCAATGCGGATCACCGGCAACTGGCAACTCTGGTTGTCATTAAAGATCTACAATGACATGTCTGTCCTGGCTGATATTTCTGGTGAACAGCACTTGACCTTTCTTTGAATAGAAAGACTTGAAGATTATTTGTCAAGGTTTGTAGGAAGTGGCCAAAATGAATAAACATGTTTGAACTTTTCCACGCTACGGTAGAGATCCGCCAAACAGCAGGTGTGGACAGTCCAAACACCTCTTGGGACCTTTTCGGGCCACTTCCTTCAGCCAAAGCTTCTGTGTGGGCTGTGTGGCGGGGGCGCAATAGGAAGGTCGAGACCCGTCACTTCAGGCGAAGAGATAAGCCGGGCCTTTGCTCAAGTAAGATAAGTAAGGCGGCAAGACGGAAAGCCAAGCAAGACTCAGCGAATCTAATCCTGGAACAAGAACCTCTGGCATATTAATATGTTCAACGGACACATGTTCCGAAACTTGCCACCAGCTTGTCACATTGGAAAGTTAACTGCCGAGGGAATCTGGTTAGCCGAACGAAATGAAAACCCACCTAGGCTCTAAGGGTGCAAACGAGGCTGGCTGTCGCTCCCTCGCGGTCGCAACCCCTCACAAACGATCAACGAAGACTTGGCCGGCATCCGGCTCCTCTAGGCTCCCGGCAAAGCCTCCCAAGGACATCCAAGCCTTGATCATTCGAAGACTGTTGGCGCCCAAGTCTCGGAATCCCAACGGATCGGACGAAAAGCCGAATGCGAAACTGCAATCAAGGGGCCGCCCTGAAGCCGGCGCCGACGAAGAATCCACGCCAGCCTGAGGAAATTCAGGTTTGGTTTTTTGTTTTATGTTCTTCCCAGGGCACTTCATTGAACTGCTGACGAAAAACATCTTGAATTGGAGAGAATGGCAGGCGGCAGAGTCATGGTGGAGGTTTTATAGGGAAAGACATCTAGGAGGTGCTGAATTGATCTGAATTGCTGATATTGGTGGTGATGAAGCGGTGAGGATACGTGCCGTTTCAAGGCATTGCTGTTGCTGTTTCATGCAGGCACTGCCACAGTGATGCGTTGTCCAGTCTGACTGGGCTATCTGGGGTTTTGTGATGACCTAATGGGATTGAGGTGAACTCTCCATCCCCAACTTTAAGCATCCTTAAACATGCGTAGAAAAAATGTCAAAGAGATGTCACCGTGCTCGGAACCTCTGCACCGTGCTGGCGCCGCTTGAGCACAGTCTAGCCTTCCATATGCTGAAGTCTGAGGGGGGGGATCATCTGCGTAGGAACCCCGCCATTGCACCGATAGACTCGAGCAACTTCATCGAAAAGCAACTCCTCCAGCATCTCACAAGGAATTTGCAAATACAATAACAGTGTAGCATGTTCAGGTCATGAAGCGTTTCCTTCAGGGGACATGTTGGGTCGTTTCACTCTTCTCAAGCGGTGCAGCTTTCGACCTTCATCTTGGTCTCTGTGCGGTCGCCCTTGCTCCTCCTTGGGGCCAAAGCTCGGGAAAATACCGACCTGTCCGTCGCCTGGGAGTGCCTCGTTTCAATGGTTTTCTCATTTTGAAGATCACACATACCTTTCAAGAGGCCTCAAATTCACGCGCGTCTTGAGCAGGTCGAAAGGAGTGGTGAACCTGATCACCAAGGGAAACCTACCCAGCTGTGGCGCTGAAAGAAACCCACCAGTCTGACTGAGTCTGACTGTCACAATCTGACAGCCGTACGTAGCGGAGATCAAGCCCGCAGCACTGCCACATACTGCGGCCACCCTGTGGGATAGAAGGAAAATGAAGCCCAGAGCAGGGATGTGAATGGATATAATATATATATATATATTATATATATATATACTGTAATGATTCAAGACTTCAAGTTGAAGCTGGTCCAAACGGCTTCTCCAAACCAGCTAATGAGAAGCTAAGAAGTCCTCATGCTCACTTCTTCCAGGCACCGAGGCCCATGCCCCACTGGAAGATGTTCTGCATCCCCTTGCGAGACCCATTTGCTGGCAGCCTTGGTCCCGAGTCGCGGCGACGAGCGAAGAGTCGGATGCCACAGTTGGAACGAGTGGACCAATTGCAGTCAACTCATGGATTTCGTGATAGATCTGTTCAACTTGTTCACAGTGTTCACGATCACATGTGACTGAGTCACCGGACGATTTTGAAGCATTCATACAGCGGATACTGAAGACAACCCGAGCTGGGCCAATGACGCAGGGCCAACCCTGCTGCCGGCGCCGACAGGCCAGCGTGTTCTTTGGATGTTTCATCATGTTGATGAAGAGCGTAAGATCTCAGCATGCACCAGCTTCACTAGCTGATTTGGTCAACTGATTTGTGCAATCAAATCCTTAAAATGTACATAGTCTCATGCTGATTTCTGGTGGTTTTGTGCACGGGACACACAGAACCCCTCTTGGAGACGCTGCGGAACCCACCGGAAGATCCATCCCGAGTCACGGTCCAGCGGAACCCACCACCGTTCCGGCCGAAGCGCTCTGGCATGCGTCCCGCAGAGCGGTGGCCTGGCCGAGTTTGGGGTGGAGTGTCTTGCCTTTTTGCGTGTCTTTAGCCATGCGTAGGCCATTGTAGGCCTATTTGTGAGGCCCTAAAGCTGTTAAGACCTGTGATTTGAAGTGCACAAGCAGGGGCTGTCTCAGAATACTTGCAGGAAAAGGGGCAAGACTGAAAAGGCCGATAAGTTCTTTGGAGGCTGATCTTGACACATAGCCTGGTGTGGAGGCGAAATCTGAACTCAAAGAACAGCTCCAGTCAGAATTACTGGAGCCTGGAATGACGCCAAAATGATGGAGCTGCTGAGGGGCAAGGCCAAACATCCAGTCTGGCAGCAAATTCCAAGCAGCTGGTCAGTTGGTATGTTTCACTCCTGAAGCAACGCGCTTTTCAGCAAGTGTCACCCACCTGCAATCGCTGCTTCATCAAGTCCTGAGAAGTCCAACATGAACTGTTGCGCAAAACTTGCAAGTCCAGGTACGTTCAAACTCCACCCTGGTCGACCCCTGAAGCTGAACGCGAAGCCGGGTTTTGACATGGACGTGTGCGGACATTGCCACCAACCCACCGAAGGCCCTTCGCTGGATCAAGCAACTGCGGCCCGCTGAGGACCCGCACCACCGGCACCCGCACCACTGATGCCGCCAATTCTCCGGCGACGGACGCTCCCATGACACTGCAGGTGAACCTGGACAGCGTAGGTCCTACAAATGTTCAGATCCACAGTTTTCATGTAGGTACAGGGTAAGAATTCTTGAAAAATAGCCTTAACCCTTCGGACGGTGGAGGAGAAACCCATCGGTCTGCACCGACGTCTACCAACCGCTTCGGCGCTGAAAGGCCAAACACGGAGCGTCTGCACCGAGGTCTGCACCGCAGGCCACTGAGCTTCCCGGAGCGCTCCGACGTCTGGCGAAGAAGCTACTAGCAATAAGGGCATCGCTACTAGTAGCAAGAAGCTGTTTTTGAACAATTCGATGGCTGCACCTCCCCCAAGCGGAGCCTGTTCTTCATACACTCCTGAGCACAAAAGCACCACTACTGTCGGGCCAAGAAGGGCAAAGAAGACAACCGAGACACATATGTCACAAAGAAGACAGCCGATGCGGTTGCAGCGCCTATCAACACAGCGGCAATCCAAGCCATGCAAGTGTGTTGCACACACAGCAATGCCTGCAAGTGCTATGCCACAGCCGCGGTACAACCTGAGCACCCATTCCATCACTATCTAATCACATGGGCTATTCGGTGAGGCTTCCGGCCAAGAAAATTGCAAGTGAGCAACAGGTGAAGAATTCGTGGCAAAACCTATATAACCTCGCTCTTAGGTTGAAAGCCATTGCTACTAGATTGACGGCCAACGCTTATTAGATTCCATTGTTATTCTTGAAAAGTATTCTCATTCATTCTCTCTTCTCTAACCCTCCAAAACCATGATAGGCTTTGACCCACAGCCACATCATCCCTTGGCATCGAAAAAATCGGCCATGATTTGGGGATCAAAACTCGAGCCTAGGTTGGAAATCCTACACCGGGAAGATTAACATGGGTGGTGTTTAATCTTTTGGTCCTCAGCATTCAGCTACCTTGGGGAAGGGCTAGCCGGCTAGCGCTCGTTTTCGGAAAAGAATGTCAATTCTTGGCTCTCTGACTGCAGTCCCCTTGTTGGAGAAGCACAGCAGCTTTGCCTGCGAGTCCTGGCCAGCCGACCCTTGCAGTCTACTTGGTTTCGCGATGATCATCGCCACGACAATTCTCTTCTCTCTTGCAAGAGCGACAGAGCGTCTTTGGAACCAACCGCCCCTTTTTTTTGGGCCAAGGACGCACCAATCGTCACGATGTCTCAGATTACACGAGAATCTCAGACTCGTTGCCCAAAATCTGGAGAGCAACTTTTCCAGTCGTATGTCCAGCAAGCGATTGATTGAAGGCTTTGACCTGTCGCAGGTTCACATCTTAGATCAAGTGCGTTAAAATTGCTGTGGTGTCGTCAGGACCTTGATATCACTTCTATTTGTGCCGCGTCACAATATCTTCCAAGCCAAACACTTGGTCGATGTGTACTGTCAGCTTGCCTTCCTTCACAAAGGATGCGACCTGAGCTTTATGGTATACTGTTTGCGCCATCAATTGGTCTTTACCTTTCAAGCCTTTCAGCCACAAAAGCACCTTGTTACTGCCATAATCTTCACATTGCTGGGCATACGGCAGTATCGATTCGCTGATGCTGTGAACAAGTTCCGACACAATTGGGCGCATACTCATGTACATCAGGTCGCTGAAGTCTCGTGGAGATTGAGGCTTTCGCTCCCTGCAACAGCCTGAGATTCACTCGCTAGAAAAGATGGAGGTAGCTGTATGCCTATCATGGGCAACATGTCTTGGGAGGCGACTTAGTTTGACAGGTCCACTCACAGAAGAGTAGAAGCAGAATCTGGATGTGTGTTCTCAAAGCAAAGAAGAGTAGCGAATGGGCTCAACGTGCCAGTCGTCAAATTGACTGAGCCCGGCACGTCACAAAGCTCCCATGCTTCTTAATGATGTTGAAGGCATGATCACCTGTGCCGTTGAGGCCAACACAATCGTAGACAACATCAACCGATTCTGGAAGGAGTACGTCATAGTAGTTCTGCTTGTGGTAGTCCTCAGTTTCACAAGGGCAGGCTGGCAAAACATGACAAACTATGCAACCAAAAAGAACAGGTTTTTATATTTTTTTATACGTCTCCTTGGTGCTCATGGTGTGCATTATCTTCCATCATCTTCACCTTCCAGCCCCGCTGCCCCAGCTGTCCCAGCTATTCTCCAAAGCTTCAATCACCTGGTCCGCGCCCAGCTGCCGCACGAAGTCGACATGAGTTTCCGAGCACGTGGTGATGATCCAGGAAGCGCCCATGGCCTGCGTGAAGAGATCCGCTTGGATCTGTTTTCATCCTACCGGCATCACCGGCCAAAATTGGGAAAAGGAGGGAAAAGGTCTTTGAAAAAAACAGGAAGCTGCACTGGCCCATGTGAATAGCCTTGGCCAGCTGAATACCCATGTGCCCAGTTCCGCCACCTTGGATGGCCGGCCCTGAGGGCTTCCCGTCTTCGGTCCACAGCAAGAGAGGCTTTTCTCGCAATTTGCCAAGCGTTAAAGAGATATGTGGAGGGATCTGACAGAATCTGTTCTTGCAATCCCTCTTTCGGCATAGACCTTGGCTGCCGCCTCTACACCTCCCAATGCCAGCTCACTTCAACTCGGTTCTCTCCAAGTCTCTTCCGCCAAGCACCAAGACGGTGGCGTTCTTCCCAAATTGAGAGCCACCTGCCGCCCATGTCAGTGACTCCAAGCCTGTGAGTGCCACCATCGGCATCGCTCCGGCCTCCAGCATACCTTGCTCCAGGAATGCTCTGACACATGAGAAACCCTGAAGACAGAAAAAGGCGGGCCAATGGGTTCCCCAAGGCAAGACGAGTTGGTGGAGGAATGACGAAATGTCTCCAAGAAAATCTCAGACCTTCGGAAGCCTATAAGAAAACAAAGCTACGAACGGAGCAAAGGGCATCGCTACCAATGGAGCAAGGACACTACGAACGTAGCTCCTGGCATTACGACTAGGAACAAGAAGCTGCTAGGAACAAAGCTACACTTCTCAGTTCTCCACCCGGAATTTCCGTATTTCTGCCTTTCGCCTTGGCACTGATGGACTCTGGCTTGACTCCAAGGATGGACTCAGATACGACAGCATATTGAGCGTAGGTTCCAGCAGTTGTTGGTGCCTCCATCAAAGACGTAGCCTGAAAAATGGGCAAACCGTGACCAACCTTTTTCTAGATTTTTGAAGAAAATGATGAGGACTTCTAAAATCCGAAGCCTGGCCTCTCCCCAGACTCTGTCGCCGACCTTCAAACGAGTGCAGCCAACACCAACACTCTGGACGACACCTGCAACATCATAGCCCAGCTTGTGAGGATAGGTCCAACTCCAGCCAGCCAATTCAACAATCTTGTGATCCACCTGAAGTCTGCACATCTTGGCCCAGAAAAAAAAAGGACTGTTCACATGTCTTCAGGTAGTTCAACGGTAGTTCTTCCATTTCCTGTATCTGATACTGTGTGCAGTTGAACATGCAGCTATTTTGTGCTCGTTGAGATGCTGGGTTGATATTGGACGCATAAACTCGGACCAATACTTCACCACGACCAGGGCTTGGAATCTCCTTGGCAAGCGGGGATCGTTCAGCTGTGAAGATGTGCGACATTGAAGTCTCAGAACAAACCAACCTGAAGTCAGGCTCCAAAGTTGTTGGAGCCTTCGAAAAAGTCCGCATTCCGTGCAAACCCTGAGAATGCCCAGACCTGGTGAAGGGGCACCCCATTGGCCTTTTTTGGCAAAAGGGCCGCAAGGACGACCAAAACCGCAGCAAAACCAAGGCTCCAAATCCATCACTGCAATCTTCTCCAGATGGAATTTGAAATCCCAGCTTCGATTCACAACGACAGCAGCTCGCATGGTGCCAGCACGAGCCATCCTGGACCCGACGGGCAGCCCGTCGGTTTCGTGTCGTTACCGAAACGGATGAGACGGGGTCGTTCTGTTCTCTCAATTCAGGCATGTGTCGCATGGCCAAACCACAGCCATGAAAGGCAGATAGCCAAATGCTGAAGCGCCATGGCGAAAGGCTCAAGATTCACAGGATATTGAAGATTCGGCAGGGGAGGTTTGTCTCTGCCTACACCTCTGAGCATGTACTACTGAGCCAATAGGTCCTCATGGTCCTGGACCCTTTCCAAGTTGCTTGTCAATTTGTGAGAGTCTTCGAGTCTTCTTGTGCTTCAGTAAAAACCTCTTGAACCACAGGCTCTTGACGTGACTGACGTCAGTCTCTTGACGTCCTTCTTGATGCAAAGGCTCTTGACCTACATCAGCAAGCCATGCCAGCAGGACTTTAAACAGTCGAGGGGATACAGGATCACCTCTGTGGTCCTCAGAGGTGCAAATAGATCATGTCTGCTACCAAGAGATGATGTCTACTTTTGTAACATAGAGCTGATGTCTACTACTACCAACAAAAATGATAATAACAATGATCAGTAATACTTGATGTCTGCTCTCAAAATCTGGGATCCCCTCAACCTAAACGACTCCACCCGAAGCGGCAAAACCATTTTAAAAAATGAAAAAAAAGAACACACTGGTTGAACCTTGAACCCCTTCACACCTGCTCAGGGTCGGGCGAGCCCGCAATCGCACCGGAGATCAGTGCAGAAGAATAGCTCGTGGTCAGCAGGCGCTTGAACCTTCAGTGATGAGACTGCGCAGCCCGCAGAGTGGACATGTCTGGACACGTCTAGGAAAAGTTGCCCTTCCTCAGTCTCAAGAGCGAAAACATCGATTGCTTGTTCGTGGGATGAAGATCTCATCCATGCATTTGGGTTAAGCAAAGGGTAACGGGACAACCAAATCTGGTGAGGACCCGAAATTGGAAACACAAATGAAAATTTGTTTCCACATTATGACTTGGCCTTGTCTGAAGTTGGAGTGCTGGTACACTCAGGCTGACCTATCCAGAAGCTTCAGAAAGTTTGGACGTCTCACTGTCGTGCGTTGTGCAACACCAGCATGCATCACAGGGAAGCCTCATCCATAAGGCAAGCAGGTTGGCACCAGCGTCCATTGGCAACTTTGCTCACCGACCCCATGTATGAGCAGTTGAAAAGCGTGAAGGTTTGCCCCTTGATGTCCAACTGACTAATTAGTCTGCTTGAGGCAAAGAGTATGCTCCCGTTTGCCAAATGCTTTCTTGAGGTGCCTGTCTCAAACGCTCATTGCAATGCTCAAACTTGGTTTATGTGACTCAGTCCATGTGTGATGGATAGTGGTCCGCTCAGAACTTCTTGACTCTGGACCTCTTGTGCGATGCCACCGAGTGACCATCATGTAGCATCGTGTGTCTTGAACCAAAAGGAGGCTGATTTCAACAGCTCTGCACGAAAAGGTTGGACTTTGCATACAGAGTTTCATCAAAATAGCTGCCCCGTTAGGGGGGCAGATTCTCCCGGGCTGTGCCCTCCTCCGTGTCTGGCATGTCCAGTGAAGGCCAGCCAATGGACTCGGCTCGAACCGCAGCCTGCCAGTGCATGCAAAATGCAAGTAGAATACATACTTAAACATGGCTTGGCTACCTATCGTTGCTGCTCCAGCTATGCTTGAATATCTGCAATCATTGATGTCAAAAATTATTTGCCTTGGAAGATGTTTCAGTTTCACCTCATTTTATTGACAACCTGCCATGTTCTCAGCTGGATTAAACAACAGCTGAGAACATGGCAGGTTGTCAATAAATTAGATGAAACTGAAACATCTTCCAAGGCAATTGCTTTAAGAATTTGTCAGATTTGGGATGCACATCTGGCCCCTGCCCATCCTGGAGGGCCAAACGCTCTGCGGCGGAGGCCTCCTTCTGCTTCGCCTACGTGGCCGGGTGACGCGCCCTTCGAAGGTCTGGAACCGGCGGCGCGACACACGGCGCTCCGCCTGAGCTTCTGCGAGCTCAGATCTGAGCTTCTGCAAGGCAATCCGGTGGCGTGCCTCAGCTTCAGCCGAATCGGGAGGTTTCCCATGAAACGAGAACTAGACGACCCTCAAAGACCGACAGATCCAGTGAAACTCGCTATTTCCATCCTAGTTGGGAAAAACTCCCACCCACTCGTGTACTCCACCCACTCCCAAAAAGAAGAGACACAAACCCCTGGCGTGCCTCTGCTTGAAGTAACAAGACGTCGCACTCACTCCTGCCGTCGAGTCTCGTCTGTTGAGACGAAGCGAGCGCGGACGTCTACGCGTCGAGCACGGACGTCGACCAAAGCGCCGCCTCTGTGCACGCAGCGCGGAGGCCCGGTCTGCCTGGTGGCCCGGGTCTGGAAAAAAGGAGAGAAGCCGTTGCAGTTTCATATGTTGCATTAACAATTCTTTTTCGGGGTCGCCGTTTAAATTCCTTTTCAGCAAGATATAGACACACCTCAACCTGGGCTTCTACCACCCATCAACCCATTTCCAGCAAAGTCACATGTCTTCAGAAAATATTTGTCGGCCAAATGAGATGACGTGCTGCTCCAGCCCAAGGGAAAAAAAAAGCACCTAAGAAGCTGTCGAAAAGCCATGCCCAGTCCGACAGCGAGTTCGGGCACCAGTCCGACTCGCTGTCGTCACTTGGCTCGACCGGACCCGACGGTGGGGCCCTTCACGAGTCCAGACATGAAGGGTTTGGACACCGAAACTGGCGGAGGAGGGTGAAGAAGCCCAAGCTTAGGCAGGCAGTGTCAACACTTCGGGAACAAGAAAGGAGATGGCCATATGGAACATGGGGAACTGCGCAAACTTCAAGTGAATTATGTTAAGTTATTCTGCCCCCCCATCCAAGGTGCAGCTTTCAACCTCAAACTTGAAACTCTCTTAGTGTTTGTCAGCAAACTCCTCATGCCTCCTCAGCGAATAAAGCTGCCTGCGGGTGAAAGCTGAATCCACTGTGGTTTGACTTCAGTTGCTTTACTTCCCTCTGGTTCCCTCTGGCTCTGTCAATTGCATCTGTTCTTTGGAGACCCAACTGGCCTGAAGGGAGCCCACCGTACGTCTTGTACACAAGGAAGTGCGCCACGCTGCAATGACCTGGGAGGTCCAAGCAAGCCAGCTGCACCGCGTGAGAACAGGTCTTTCCACGGAGAACTGTGCGCCAAGCCGTGTGCATCACCTGGCGCCGCACTGCCCAGGAAAAAAGGAGAAGCTTGATCCGTATCAGTTGATGTGCATACGTCACTTCGCTGCCAAAGCTTCGCAAGAATCCAGCAGTCTCCATCTAGTTTTCTTCTTAGCGTTGTCCTGCTATTTGCTTTCCGACCTCAATCTCTGTACTCTTCAGGGCAGATTGCATTCCATGCCGCACGCGCTGTCTTGCCTTAGTGTCGCGTAGGCAATACTATGATTCAGTATGGTATGCCAATCCCAAGAGTGTGCGGTTCAAATGCAATCAGAATGCAAAAGAACGCTCTCAATGCTTGCAAAGATGCAACTCTCCCGACCTCCTTCCACTGCACCTTTCTTTTGGCAAAAAACACAAGACTTGGCAAGCTTTGCAATTGGTCAATTCTTAGGTTCCCTCCATCCAGGAAAGCAGAAAGACCGCCCAAACAATTTCAATCAATCTATGTATTCAAAGGGTCCATGTTCGTCTGCATTTCACTTCCAAGTTTGTTGAATCGAGAGAACTTGGAGTCATGTCTGAAATGTTCCCAGCAAGGCTCCTCCATCGCATCACGCGCACAGTTGATGCGACTGTCCGCCAGCCTCAGCAAGAAACCTTACCAGTGAACCGGGATGTCCATCCTACTTTGGGATGCTTTGGTTTGCCGCCCTCTTCGGATATGCATCGAACGCTGGTGTCTGTGTTCGAACACGCCAAAGAAGAAAACTGCGAAAGTCTGAGTGTCCTGGCCACAGGCGCCAGGTGGCAAAACAGCTCGCCAACATAGCAAGCCTGGTGGGGCACAAACAAGGCTGGCATGTGCAAATCTCCTCAGTGAAGCTAGGCATCTGACCAAAGTAACAGCGCCGCATTCCCGCTCGGTCTTCTGAGCATCAGACTCGTGAGAATCTCCACGCAGCTTCTGCATGGCTGATGCCCTGGATCCTCAATACAGGCTAGACTTCAAAACTCTAACATGCAAATCGATCCAAGCAGGGAATTCAAGGATCACACTATCTAATTCAAAGAAGAAGCAGTGATAGACAATGATAGACACGAACTGGATCTGTCTCAGATCCAAGGAGGCTCCAGAGCATGTTTCTGCCCAATATGAGGCCCCTGCTGGCAAGCTCTTGTGCACGGCTGGCCTCCTGGACAGCTGCACGAGCAGCAGCCTCATATCCGAAAGCGACGCCGTACTACGGGTGATCGAGATGTGTCAAAATGAAAGGACACGAGATTGGACTGGTGAGTACTGAGTATACTCTGTAAGATTGAGGTTGCCCCATGTCCATCCCTGAATAATCACCCAAAGCATCGAAACTTTTGGAGCATCCCTTCTATCACAGACTCTAGTTTCCTTCATGACACCACTCAGTCTAGCATTCTTTCTCAAAAGATTGACCACTCTAAGCCCACCACGGCTTCTGCCAATTCATTACCTGAAGAAAATGGAAGAGCTCGGATCAGGCTGCTCTGGTACTACTCCACTCAAGACAGCCGCAAAACATTAGTGACTGTATCACTTCTGGAAACACGCAGAACCACAGCACTGTTGTGGCCCTCACTGGAAGCTCGCTTTGCAGCCGCGGCCTGACGAAGAATGTAAATGCGTTGACTCTGAGCTTGTGAAGTGGGCACGTCCTGGACTCTACCTTTCACATTCTTTCACCCCATGTCCCTTCCTTTCGATTCAGGTCAGGTCGCCTCCTTTGCTAGCTCCTCTTCCACACGTCGTCGTGCTTCGGTGGCGTCCTGGGCCTGACCACGATCGGAGAGGTCAGACAGCTTTCGAACAGGTGCCATCGCAGGTGCCATCTCCCCACCCCAGCACTCAGTCCACTCCACCAACAATGCCAAGCTCCAAGCTGCTTCCACTGCTGCCAGGCACGCTGCCTGGAAGAAGAATCCCCAAAAAAGAAAGGAGCTGGAAACCAGCTTTTAGAATCAAACCCTTCGAGGGTCTTAACTTTGCAATTCACTCCTTTGGGATTGATTGGGATTTTGTGTCGAAACAGTGTTCAGTTGCGTTTCCCAACAATCCGGCGCCTTTTGGTTGCCCAAAAAGTTGAGATACAAGCAACCGCATGTAAACCTCACATGTTTCTTCAAAATCTAGGAACCTGAGCGTGAGCCATCCTGCGTCTTACCTAGGTGCTTACTTAAGCTACTGGCCACCTTCCTGGCGGCCAAACCTTTGGGGCTAAAAAAGATGTATTAAAACGACAAGAAAAGTATAAACCCAAATAGAATAAGCTCATAAAATAGAATAAAACCGTCCACTTTCGGAAAATGCACGTTTTCGCCCATGACCGAAAGGACGTTTCTGGGCCCCCTTCCGGTCCACCGTTCAACCGGTCCGGACGGCTCCACCGAACACCAACGACTCCACTCCTCGGAGGCACGGAGGCTCGCAGCGGCGGCGGCCACCTTCGCATTGGCACCATCCTTCGGCCACGCGCCACGCGCCACGCGTCACGCCTTTGAGCCCCTGCTACGTAGCCTTCTTGCTCCGTTTGTTTTTGCGATGCCAGGAGCCCCAAGTAGCTTCTTGTTCACCCCAAAAAGGAAACCCTTCGATCTTCCTTCTGCTCCACCCTGATGGTGCAAACTGATGTTTGCTAAATCGAAATGCGAACGAAGTCCAGCTGATCTAGTGCCGAGAACTTTCAGGAGCGAAGAAAAAAACATCGAACAAGCTCAAAGAGCTTGCCGCATCGACACCTCTGTCTGTGTTTTGAGCGCTTCTTCGTTGACGACCGGACCTCTGCTTCGGCCAGCCGAGCAGATGCAGCTGCAAGCTCTGCTGCAAGTACCTACAGTCAGCAGCATCTGAGAGGAAATCGAGTGCAGCTGAATTGTCCTGAGCTTTCCCAGTCAACACAATGCACCAGAGACGCCAGCGACTCAATGCCTTCTTGGCAAACATCTTTTGCTGATGCTTCTTAAACCGAATCACGTCGTGCCTCCACACGCTGCTCGGCTTGTTCAGCACGGCTGGTCATCTTTGATAAGTCCTATCACCATCGGCACCGCTTCGGTTCTAGTCGGATGGTGGACGTGATGTGCAACCGAACAGGACGTGATGCTCTTTGGCGTATCTATCCAGTTGGCCTAAAGAAATGTGTTGCGGTCCTACACGGTTCGTCTATACTTGAAGTCTTTGGCGGTCCTCATCCGGATCTGCAGCTGTGGACGGCCTTAGGGCTGAACTCGTCAACATGTTGGACGAGCTGTTGATGTCTTTTTAGGAAGCGCAAGGCTTGCACAAGGCTCTTCAGGCAAAATAGTTTTTCCATGTTTTTTCCACAAATAGAGACAAAGATCCTACCAGTGGCTGTTGCAAGCAATGAGGATTCCTTGTTGCTCGCACAATGCACTGGCTGACATCGCACTCTCATCACCCTAGCGTCACAGGAATAAACTACGACAATATTCCGAATCCTCTCTTTGGAGGACAGTGCTGTGGTGCTACTTTGTCTTGATGAAGTCCATGAAAGCACACTCCATCACTGCACATGATGCAGCTTGTCCTCTTCACCATGCCAAGAGTGCAACTCGATCTCCGCGTTTCTGCTCGTCCAGCGCTCGTCGGCAGAGAGGCGTTCTTTTTCAAATCGGCCGGCTGTAGCGATCTGCCCACCTTGCTTGGAAAGCAGTGGCTCAGCCCCATGACTTGCAGCTCAAAGGGCGGTGCCAAAACGTAGCTCGCCTCGTCCTCATAATGGCTACTCTCACAAAGTGAAATCACACAATGAACTTGAGTATTTACACTCAGTTTCTGTAGCTGCTTGCAAACCATGCTCGGAGGGTAAAGCACAGGACTTGGAGAAGCCTCTTGCAAAGACCTGGAATGCCGACACTGCAACAAACAGGGGGGTGCCATCCACTTCCATGATTGTCAAACAGCCTTAGAACCTCACTCCAGCAGTGGAATCAGTTGGATAACTTCTTCTCGTGGCGCCCACATCGTCCTGTCACTCGGGCAGCAAGTTACGGACATCACGTAAGGAAAATGCACAATGCCCTTCAAGCGTGGCCAGTTCATAGCTAGCTTCCAACTCGTGCCAGCAACCTTTAAAAAGGCTGCGGTTGGCGATTGTTTCCACCAGCTGTTTAGGCTGGGTGAACGGAGAATGAAGCGCCCAGTCCTGTTTGTCGGAACGAAATGTACATGCAGGCGGAAGATGTTGGGCGGAAAGTGCATAAACACAGCCACTTCAGATTCACTCCTGCTGGACATTGGACATTGCATTGCAAAAAGAAAAAATTGATCCAACTGAGATGTTTGCTACACAGGTGCACCATGTACCTCTGTTCATGAACCAAGATGCCTACATGCGAACATAAACCAAAATGTCTGTACTTTCTGAAATTTGACATTCCTGAGATCTGGATGTGCTGTCAGCACTGCTGCAATGCCCTCGCGCAGCAGTTTCCGGAGAAGGGGCACATGCCTTCATTCCGGGCAGTTTCTCATTCATGAAGCCCGAAGTAGAATTTGCTCAGTTCTCTCTTGCTAAAAACTTTAGACATGTGCCTTTGATGCAACTCGGCAGCAGTGCGTAGCTCTCGGTGACTCGACCACGCAGTGTAGTGCATGCCTCGGATATTGTGCTCGCAAAAGCGCAAGTGCCGCGAAGCCAGGAAGGAAATGGACATCAATTGACGAAGTCCGCCCGCACCGAAGGTGCCGAGGGCGTGATAAGTCTTAAGCTTTAGCTTGGGGGGGCTAGAAATGCTGTGCTTTACAGTGTTTTTTGGAAGTGGATAAAAATGAGACCAAGCGTTGACGATGCCGGTTACGCAGGCCAGTATCGCATTATTGACATCGTGGTTGTGTTCGTCCGTGTGTCCTGTCCGACCAAGACACAGACTGACAGACCGAGACAGACACACCAAGACAGACAGACCGAAACAGATAGACTGAGACAGACCGACTGAGACAGACAGGTCGAAACAGACAGACCGAGACAGACAATTGACATCGTGCGTGTGTTCGTCCGTGTGTCCTGCCCGACCGAGACAAACAGACTGACAGACCGAGACAGACGCACCAAGATAGACAGACTGAGACACGCTTGAGCCCGGTTAACATTTCTTCCCGGCTCCGAGAGCACAAGTTGCTAGTTCCCGGCTCCGCGAGCACAGGTTGCTGCCGAGCCGGTAGGGTGCTAATGACACGCTTTTCCCTTGTATGTCTGGATGTGTGTCTGCATGTATGTCTGTCTGTATGCGTGGATGGATGTCTATGTCTGTATGTGTGTGTATATATGTTTTCCCTTTACTCTGTGCGGGCGGCTTCGACTGCGAAGCGGTGTGAATACCAAACTATATAGAGCTCGCAACTTTGTAGAGATTTCCCAAATCAACACTTCCTTAAGCCAAACAAGAATCTATTTGCTGTCATCTTTGGATCCTGCCACAAAATCAGTGTAGTAGTGCTGTACGCTCAGCAAAAGCATCAGTAAGCCAATGCTCCTTGATGACTTTCCAGTCTTTATCTGCATAGATTGTCTCGGTGCGGGCTTCCTAGGAGGTTGCATCCCCGACATTGGCAAGCTTCCAAGAGTTTTCCATGGGTGTAGCTGCAATGTGTATATATATATAGCTCAAAAAAAGGAGCGATACACCCCTAAAAACCATTGGCCCAAAAGCACCAAAAGCTGAATCAACGAGTCCATCGGTAATCACCACGCTCAAATCGAACAGTTTACGCACTGTAGATCTTTAATTTCTAGCTCACAAAAATTGTCCAAGCCTCCATGATGCCTGCGACAATGTCATCTGCACATGAGCAGTGAGACTCGGCAAAGTAAAGGATATCGCAACCTGCCGCTGAGTGAAGGCATACACTTGGTGGCAATTCGCAGGTCAATCGAGCCTTGCCATCAGTGGATGGCTGTCTGATAAGGGTGAAGCAGTGAAGCAGCTCACTGACCAAGCCTCTTCTGGAAAGCTCGGCCGTGTCTTCTTTCCACAACCAGCCAGCTTCAAAATACCATCTCACTGCCTCAAGCACCGAGGACGCGGTGCTACGCCTCGAAACATCTGGTGCGACGGCCTTCTGGTGAAACGAGACCCGGAGAATCGCACGGGGCATCACCTTGGTGCCAAAACCACAACTCACAAGTCGTGCTTTTTGGGGGGGGTTCTGTTTCTGTGCGTTTCAGGGTAGGGAATCGTCATGAATCGTCGACGTCTGCAGACATCGATGGTCACATCTTTCGCCCATCGGTCGTGGGCGAGAGACTCGTCGGTCTTGGCGAAATGCGTGCTTCGTTCGTTTTTCGGGAAACCCGGAACCTCCGAGAACCAGGACTAGTGACTTTTCCGCATGGGGTTTTCAAGGCTAAGACCTGTGGACAGGTCTTGAAACGCTGACCGTTTGGGTCTCAAGACGTAGCCGCGGAGATGTGAAAACCAATATAACCAATCTCGCAAGCTCGCTCTTTCAGCAGTCAACATAGGGGCTCTTTCAGCGCTGTTGTTTGGGTTTGACGATGATCTGAATTTGCCTCGCTCGGGTCTGTAGCGTTGCGCTTTGCTTCTCATCGTGGCAACGACGTGAGCAACACCTCTCAACTCACCCATAAGTGCGTCTCGGCGTATCCCATTAGATCAGCTCCTACCCTTGTTGGCCGGACACTCACTTGCGCACCCAAAATTTCACTCTCTTGCGCACTTTGACTCACTTGCGCACTTTCATCAAAAGCGGACACTCACTTGCGCACTTTCAGCGTGCGCCCCGGACAATGGGATGTCCCGGTGCGTATCGGTGCGTCTTGTAGGCTAGCATGCGCCCCTGACACCAGCGATGCAGTGCGTCAGATGCGCAGGTGCGTCACTCAGTTGCCTGGCGAGTGGTACAAACAGCGAGTAGAATTTCCTGGCGAGGGGTGTTCGCCCCTGTTGTTGCCCTCCCGCTGTTCTTTAAGAATGTGAAGTTTGTGTCAAAAGACATCTTGGGAGTGATGTGATCCAAGATGCACGCTGGGTTCAACTTCAAGGTTTCCAGTCTTTGGCTCAGATCCAAACTGTTGGCAGAAGAAGCATCGCGAGCGTTATGAAGGTGACTGGAAGAATTCCAACCCATTCGAAGGCAGCTGCGCACCTTGGATGGACGTGTGCATGTTGCATCAAGGGCTTAAAAAATATTCTTCAGTTTGTCTGAAGCCCTCGAAAGGCCCAGGAGTAAAAAGAGACAGTAAAGCCCACTGATCAATCCACGTTCTCCCTAGTCTAACGCACTCACTAGGCCAATGTGTTCTTTGATGTTGCTTTCATCAATCTCTCAACACACTGAGGCCAACACCTATGTCGCAGTAGCTTGAACTTCATTTTGATGTCCATCATAGAACCAACAATATCCATCCGGCCATTGGTTTCTTAGGGTTCATCTGCATCTCACTGTCGCATGCTATGACCTTGCTGACTTACTGAGCATCCTCAAGTGAGCAACATGAGCCTCATCGGCGGAGGATCAAGGCACGGCGATGAAGTGTTTCTGCTGGTTTCAAGGCCAAATCAAAATTTGAATACGTGCTCAACCTGGGTGCCCAACCTGTGGCTTTGCAAAAACTTCTTCGACCAAACCAGGTGAATTCAGGTGAAGCAGTAGGAAGGCTAGCTTGAGATACTGGTCTTGCAAAGGATATGAGATTCTTGATGGAAAAGTAAAAGCTCTCTAGGAATCAGGTCCTCACATCCCGCGAAAGTTGGATGGTTGGCCTCTTGGAAAGAAGCCTCCTCTTGAAACCCCACGGGGGTTCTACTTCCATGATCTTCCATGTGTCTTGGAGTCGGAGATCATGCCAAACCCTCCGAACTGTTGACCATCCAAAACAACGTGTGGCTTGGATGAGGTCGCGACGCAGTGCACGTGAGGCCTCCTGGAGTGCCAGGCAAGCTGACCGTCGAAGAAGTGCCGCTTGGCTTGCTTGTCCTGGCCGGATGTCATATCGGATGGACCCTGCAAACATCCTTTATATACGCTTATAAAAAACACATGTTTGCATTATGTTTCTTACAATCATTGTTTTTATACTATATAGAGAAAACCAGTGGCCTGATATTATGATAATACCCTTCGAGGTTCCCCCTTTTTTTGAGAGAGATCAACTGACTAACTGCTAAGAATGTGGATCTCGCGCTTCAAGCAAGAAGACCCGTAGAAGCCCAAGAGTTTGGGGGGCATTGTGGTATCTCGAACCAAGCATGTTGCAAAATTGCCCTCTTGAACACATCGCCAAGAGGAAGGCCACGTCTGAAGGCATCGTTGAAGAAAGTTAAACTAAGGGCTGGTGAACTCGAACCTGAAATACGAGAACAAATCAGAACTCTTGAAACCTCGTGGAACCCTGTGGAACCTTGTACACGAACCCTGGGTCCTGGATCCCCCCCCCTTGTCCCCCGGACCCGCGTCTCAGACCGCCTTCGTTTCGACCGCTTCAGCTCGGTCACCAGCGCTTCCAGTTCGGCACAGCGCTGCTGTAGGGCCTGGGGACCGAACCCACCGAACCGAACGGGTTCCGTCCGGGGCGATCCACAGATCCACCCACAGTCCGGGGCAAATAAGATTGGTACACAAGAACCCTGAAGAACGTATCCAATGCACAGGCATTGGAACCAACGCTTTTGGAGGCTTCTATCCGGTTTCAGTTTCGTCAACGTCGTCCATCTCTTAAGTATATGGTGGGCCCCACCCTGCATAAGGCGCAAAAGAACAGGAGGGGGTTCGAAAGCTCCTGCCTCCATGTCATGCGACTGAACATCCAGCAAATCCACACCTGGCAATCATGACAAAATGTGAGAAAACGAGAAACTGTAGCAACAAGGTTGGCTTCGTTTCGTGATTTGCAAGAATGGGAAAAAGAACACTGTGCCGAGTCATCATTGCCAGGTCTCCCAAAAGCACTTTTCTCACTTCCAGGTCGCAGACCGTCCAGGTTCCTCTCGTGTTGCCAGAGCCGGCCGAGCCGCTTGCAGCTCGCTGTACAGTTTTCTTCCACTCCACTCAACACAGCCCGCCGGTGTCTTCCCAGCGGACGACTGCGACGCGTCACTCATGGGGATCCCGAACAGCATGGGAAAAGCTTTTGAAGCGTCCGATCGCTCCTAGTAGTATGGCCAGGAGCCCTTAGTAGCTTCATTCTCGCTCCATTCGATGCCCTTTGCTCCTAGTAGCTTTATTGTTACTATGATAAGCAATTGGGGGTGTTCATCCAACATCTCTAATACTTGGTTTGTGTTGCTCTGGCGGGAAACCACACGAGTGCAGTCCAACCTGTCCACTTCTGCCTATCCCTGTGCATCCATCGTCTGGCGATTTTTGTTGCTGCTTACTTCAATACATGAAGTGGCTCCATCAGTGGCACCATCTGGTGCATATAGACGCAGGCCCACATCAGCCACATACAAAAGGTCGAAGTCCAAACCACAACCAATCCAAGTCTGATGCTTTCCGCTTTCGTAATGTTTGCAGTCTCCTTGATGAAGAACGTGGAGGATACCATGCTGGCAACAAGACCAATCACAAGGAAAGTGATCGTTCCGGTGACGAGGCCATGAGCAAAAAAAGCCCTGAGGCTCTCCCATCTTCCTTACACTCGAGCTGACGTGCTCGAGCCAAGGCAAATCATTTCCCAAATGGCTTCGAGCCGTGTTGCCAATCATATTCCAATCTGCATGAAGAACTGGGCAACTAGCTCTGCTGTCCGAAACGGTTCTTTGAAGCTCTCAGAATCGTGACGTCTCAAATACCCTCCACTGGCCTCTACTAAAATGAGATGTTGAAGACGCCATCGACGGCAAATGCCCTGCGAAGATAATGCACGGCTTCATGACTGCTTAGACAAACAACTATCTGAAAACCTCATCTTCGGTGCCTCCATTCTGCCGAAATTGGTTGAAGCTATCCAAGAGCTTGTCCTAGGTTCACAGTCACAGCAAGTAGCACAGGGTGCACTGCATGCAAACGTGTTAATCGCTCTCCCAGCACTTCTTCCACTTGTCCAGAGGGCCAAGCCCGTTCAAAGGGGCCAAGTGGTTGGCCGGGTAGCCTTGCAAAGAAATGTACGAGCGACTTTGGCAAGTCCAATAAACATCCGTCGGCTGTGACCTATCTTACAAGTGTGCATCACCAGCATCACGTCTAAGACACATCAACTGGTGTTCCAAACTTGGGCACACCAAAAACACCGTCACTACCAAAGATCACCTACGTCAGTTCCCCACCGACAGATCGACTTGCGTGACATCGCCGCTTCCCGTTGCCGGCCTCCGGAGGCCCAAATGACCCTGGACTCGCCGAGAGGTGGCCTCATTTCGCACCGAAAAGGGCGGAGAAAAGGGCGGTCTTTTGTTTCGTTAAGGGCGGTCTTTCTTGGAGGAGTCAGATTTGCTTCCAAGTCCAAGTGATTCGGAAAGACTTTGGCCATTTGGGGTCCCCCTTCCAAAGAATCCCTAACCGAAGTTTGATGGACACCCAAGGGCTCAAGGGCTCAGGTTTGTTCAGCTTGGATTTCCATCAGCTTCAGCTGCTCCGATCCACCGGCGTCGACATGCCGTTCCGAGGTGCTCCGCGCGATGAAGTGGCAGACCTGAAGGGTGCCACGCTCGGAACGGCTCCGCACGGCGAGGTCCACCGACCTCTCCGCACGAAAGAAAAGGCCACAACAGGACATCTGAGATGGAGACAATCCTTGTGTGTCCAACCTGAGCATGTCGAAATTCTCTGTTTCGTCCTAGCTTCGCTCTGTCTCCAAGTTTCCAAAACTCCGTCTCTGTGGATGCTCAACTGAGTCAGGGGCCCTTCCCACATTGCAGGGCGAGCTGCTAGGGACAGCGGCCATTTCTGCTTGCTTTCAGCCTGAGCGCGGCTCGTGCGGCCCGCCGTGCAGCCCGCCGTGCAGCTGCTTCTCATGTCTCTTAAGAGACTTAAGAACCTTGTCTCTTTGCATCCCAAGCCCACTGAGATCAAGTTCCACACAGCAGCAAGGTCGTCAGGAGTGGTGACTAGGCCCTGCACAGGCTCGACAAATCCAAGCTCAAACACCCTGCTACCAGTTTCTTCTTTGGTTCGACTGCCTCCTGCAATGAATAAAATAAATATGATGTTGCTTTTTCTGTCACAAACTATATGCTCAACCATCAATGTCATGCAACTCGAGTTGCGTCAAAGTTGCTAACAACGGCTCCATGTGTCGCTGCAAAATGAACTCCAGAAAACTCCTTCTTTGGGGGGATTCTTGCCGCTCCACCGTCACCAATCCTTCACCGGACTCACCGAGGATTCACCGAGCACCACGGCTGAAGGTCCCGATCTGAAGGTCGATCTGAAAGCTCCCCAAAGCACCTTGTTACTAGTAGCTTCTTGTTACTAGTAGTAAGGCCAGGAGCTACTAGTAGCTTTTTGCTCCTTTTAGCGATGCCCTTTGTTCCTAGTATATAGCTTCTTGTTGCTAGTAGCAATGGCCTCCAACCTAATAGCGATGGCCTCCACCTAGTAGCTTCTAGCTACTTCTTGTTACTAGTAGCGATGGCCTCCAACCTACTTGCGATGGCCTCCACCTAAAAGGGTCCTAATACACGTTCAGGTTCAGACCGGGGTCTTCGACGCTCAATTTCTGTCGGGAGTCAAGAACCCGAGCATCCAACGCTGGATCGATCATCCAGGCACGGCCCCCCCAGAGAGTGTTCGATGCAAACTGCGGCCTCGACCGCAGTGTGCACGTTCTCAAGTTGGATGTCACCGGGAACGAGTCACATGGTGACGCACCCTTCATGACTCTTTAAAAAGGACTATCGACTTTGGGGGTTGGGGTTAACCAAAACAGTTGCAACACCAGGCCCTTCTTTTTTGCAGGTCAATTTTCAGGAATCCTGATTGCTCCAACACCCACAGGCCTTTTGGAAAGGAAGTGTTCCTGCTGGCGGCTGCTTTGGTGCCTGGAACACATGGCTCAGAAGTTGCTTCAACTGGTCGAGGAATTGGCCACAAAGAAGTGACGCACTTTTTGCTGCAAGCATACCAGCCAATCTGTTCTGTGGCACACTTGGCACTTTCACATGGCCACACAGGCCCAAGCAGACGGGTGCCGTAAACAGGCTCGTGCAGGTCCCGCAATTCGGTCGGCAGTTCCACTGCACGGTCGGCGTTCGGCGCGTTCGGCTCTCCGCGTTCGGCTCTCCGTCTGCGTCTAGGAGTCCTTGCAAACAACGCGAGTCTGTGGGAATTATCTGGTGTATCTCATGTGGTCAAGTCACATTCTCTTGCATCACGAACTCTGCATCTCCCGTGGCCTCCTTACAGCCAAAACAAAGGCAAACGAAGGCCGTTTTGGAGCTGGAGCAACCCTCTGAGATGAGGACCTCATCGTAGGGAGGACCGTCCTACAGTTCTGAGTAAAGCAAACAAACCCTGTGGTCCAGAGCATCAACTCATTGAAAGACCCACTTCGAAGATGTTACAGGACAACGAAAGGATTTACAATAAAACAACTACTACCTTCAAGATGGCCCTCTCAACTGAAGCTACCAAGAATCAAACGGAGCCATCTATATAGTCTAAAGATAGAGAAGGCAGAAATCTTAACAGCAACAAATCTTCAGCCCATGCTCTCCTCCTCACCCGAGCTTGCCGACATTTCGGGCGAGTTCACCATCGTGCGCAGCTGCCTTACAACTAACGGTACCCTCACACGTTTGAGGCCGATTGTCCGGGACAAGAGTCCGGACTAAAGAAAGAGCGGCTTCAAGACTTTAAAACAACAAGCTCTTGTGTCTTGAAGAAAAACATTGAGGTGTTTTAAAATATCACCATCTTCCTTCTGAGTATATAACTTATCGTTCATCAAGTTCACAACAGTTGCATCTAGGCAAACAGTGGGTGGGTTTAGAGTTCCTGCACAGTCGATTGCAGGCAAAACCACCCCTGTCACCCCCGCCAAGCCAAACTTGTAAAACTCTGTCCATACAGAACTCTGCCAAGGCACGTCGGACCCCTTCGCCGTGAGTTCGACAGCAATGAAGCCACGAAGGACGTGTTTCTGAAACGTGCCTGAAAGGCGTAGCGGCGACGCGCAGTTCGCAAAACAAACAAGGAGCGATCGGACGCTACTACGGGCTCCTGGCCTTACTACTAGGAACAAGAAGCTGCTAGGGGCTCCTGGCCTCGCTACTAGGAGCGATCGGACGCTACTAGGGGCTCCTGCAGCGGAAAAAAGAGAAGAACATGCAAGCAACCATGCCGCACTCGTTGGTGAAAAAATACTCCTCCTGGACTGGATCCCCAAAACTACAGAAAAACAACAAGTGTGGTTCCACATCATTCGATCTCAAACTCAAAGGAGCACTCTCCCCACTTCCACCTTTGTAGGTCTTCATCTGCTTTCGTCACTTCCTCACTCTACTTCTTCCCACCCTCCAGCGCACCAAGCGTCGAGTCCCGCCGCGCGGGCCACGTTCGAGCGCCCGGGGGACTGCCGCGCCTCGGGGTCCGGAGCGCACGGGGCGAGTCGGTGGGAAGAGAGGTCCACATGCCGTGTCCGGGTGGGTTTGGTCTCACCGGATGGGCGTTGAAAAAGAAAAAGCAAGCGGACACAGCGAATTGGGATTGGGAGCCTCAGGTTCGACGAGGCCAAGGTGCGTAGTAGGGCGTGCTGTTGGGATAGTCTCGCATGTGCCCAATCTTTCCCGTCTTCAGGAAGTGCAGAAAAATCTTCTTGGAGAGCATACCCTCCGAGCGCATTCGTTTCGCACAACTAAATGCAAAAGACAACCCTGCAATCTAACATGGACCTGTGAGAAGGCGGGAAAGATAGGGAAAGAGATGACCTTTTGGAAACGCAAGACTATCTTCCTCTACCTTTTGGGCGGTCCATGTCAGCCTGCAGGGATGTACCTGAACTATGTGGTACAATATCCAAGGATCATGCGCCTGTAGAACATCCTGCGGCGCCGAAGCAAATCATCAAAACAACTTCAACAAGTTGCCTGTTCCTTCAACAAAGCTCCGTGTGGTTGCCAGTCCTCTGAGTTTCCTCGCATGGACCCAACCAGGAAGATCCGTTTGCATCCAAGTTGTTTGAAGACTTTGTGAGCCTGGCAGCAGAACATCTCAAGAACATGCTAAACCTGGGAAAATAAGGTGCCTGGCCCAAAGAGGCATCTGGAGACATCCGCATCACCGAATGATCCTCGGTCAGCCCCAAGAACAGAAGCTCACAGAGTAGTAAAGAATAGGCAGGTTCGGCGAGCAAATGAGCAAGTATACAGGTAGACAAACAACAAATGATGGCAGATTACACTTTAGCTTTGAAAAAAGTGCCACATGGCAGATGCAGGAATCTAGTCGAAACAGTACAGCAACATCTCTCTCCCTTCCAGGCGGAAATGGAGGCAGGAGATATGAGGCCCAGAGATGTGGATAGAAGCCGTGATAGATGTCCAACACAAAGGCTGTTTCACTAGAGCACGAAGCCAAGCGCCAGAGGCGGCCATCGAAAGTGGCGCTGCACAGTACGAACCACTCGCAGGTCGTGCAAATCAGGGTAGATCAACGCATTTGGTTGTCGTGGTTTGTCATTGGACCATACTGGAAAGAAGTTCTAGCGAAGCAGTAGGTGCACTGAAGTCCAGGAATCAGCGATCAAAGTACACAGCCGGTGAGAGTCAAAACACTCAAGTCAATGGAAAGATCAGGTTAGACCTAAAATCCGCACTCTCAGCAAGCAACGAGTCTGCATCGCCAAGTTGATGCTCTCCTCTACCAAAACTTCTTGTACTTCATGACAATATAGAACAGTCAGTTCTAAACAAAGCAAAGCGGTCGCTGACTCTTGATTCAATTGATTGACTAGGTCTCCCTGACGGGGTTTTCGGTGGAAAAAAAGCGGGGCGGCGCAAACCAGAAAGAAAACCCACCAAGACAGGAGACAACATGACCATCTCACAGTGCGCCCTGGTGCCAAGCAGCTGTCACAGAGAGGAGTTCATCCTCATTCACACGATCAGCATCCGTTCGCCCGAGAGTGGCAAGATGTCCTGATGAAACCACATGAATGAGAACAACTTTGCTAACACATTGTGCTCTCAATCTTCATCTGAGTACACTTTCTTCATCTTCTATCTTCTACCTTTTCTGAAGAAAGAGTCAAAAGATGCCAGATGCCGGAGAAGCAACCCAACAGCTCTCGCAAATATTCTCGCTTCACGTATCCCAAGAAGCCTCAAAACGACATGGCAAGAACCAATCTTTCTTTCAGTTTCTTTCTGGGATGGTTGAAGCTGAACGATGTGCGCAGTGCAACCACACCAGCAAAGACAGCATACCTGATCTGAAGCAAGCAGCTATCACCTTTGACAACCGGATACCCAGAGTAATGGAAGTTCTGAATCAGCCATGTCCTTGGATCTTCGGCTTGCACATGTGTGCATTGTTCAAAGTGAAGGGATCCCTCCAAACGCTGGGCTTCATCTATGCTGCTATGCTCTATTCCGCACGCAGGCCAGGGTTTTGTTTTGTTTCGTTCACTTGAGACACTCTCTCATCTTGAGACTTTAGTTAGGCAGGCGGCAGACCCAGGAGAAATTCAGGCTAGCATGAAGGCTTGTCACTTTCATTTCAGTTACCCTTGCACTTGAAAGCGCTCAAAGCCTGGAAAAGCGCAAGCAGCATGCCTGGCATGTTATGAAAGGCATCAGTGCTTCCTTCATGTTCTGGAACCACGCTGAGCTTCAAATCAGCGACCGTGGGCTGCAGACTTATATCCAGTTTGGTCAAGCCTTAAGGCTCTATGGATGACAACCGTGCGCACAGCGGCTGTGGCAACAAGACAAGCGAAGGCAAGAGAACCTCATCACCAAAAAGCCGTTTGGCAACATCAAAAAGGCGGGCCTGACTGCATGATGTCGCAACATCTCCTCAGCGCAGGTGGCAAGCCCTTGACCCCAAGACTCAACGAATCGAAGAAGGCAAAAAAGCCAGTGCGTTCCAAAAGGCTCAATGAAGGTCACATCCAGTTCTTCCTGCAGAAACCTTACAGTCGCCCAACGTTCCCTCCTCCCATCCTGTGCACGCGGCAAGAGGCACACGTCTTGTGGCAAGAGACGGATATCCCTTAAGGACGATGTACAGGTCGTAGATGCCTCACAGCTGTCTGTGTTCACAAGACTAGCATCAGCGTCCATCGGAAACATGGGAACTGCGTCCATCGATCCCACCTTCGTTCAGTGTGTCTCCCACCTGAATATCGAAAATGAATGAAATCTGGCCATCGACTTGCACATACTGCAACTGCGTTTGGAGAATATAGAAATGAAAAAAGTTAGAAAAAAGCAACCTCAAAGAGAACAATTTATTTGCATCCTGGAGGCAAGCTTGGCGATAAGAACCTGGCGTGTTTTTTGGAGATGCACCACTACACAAAGAGCAAGTAGCAAAACTTGGAGAACCATCTTTTTAATGCTACCCTCACTCACCGAGCCGGACAAGGAGCAGCGATCATGAAGGGCACGATGTAAGTCATTCCCCCTGTAAGCTCCAGCATGATAGCCACCAAGGAGATCGTCACCCGACAAACCTGGTGATCGTCCGCTGAGCGGAGCTGGCGGAACCGCTGCGCGGAGCTGGAGCGGTTCGGATTTGAAGCAAACTAAGGAGACATGAGAAGCGAATACAGACTTGGGGCAAGCAATGGTCCGCAAGCCCTTTGGGAGACAGTGGCCTTTGGGAGACAGTGGGCTTTGGTCACTTGCTCAGCCAACTCAGACATGAACTTCGCACATGTGCATGACGCTAAAACGAGGTGTGCGCGTGTGTGTGTGTGTGTGTGTCAAACCCCGTTTCCAGGGGCACTACTCTCTACTATTTCTCCTTCCTTTCATTGTCAATGTACAGTTTGCAACAGCAGGGGGCCCATGGGCACATGGATGGCATGGGCCAACGAAGACCCATCCATGTTGCCGTGAAAACGTACCTGCACAAATTTTTAACATATTCTAAAGAGCTACTGCGTTTGTTCAAACATTCAGTTGCGCTGACCTTTCATTCCTGCGGTTTTGCAAGTCACGTGCTAAGTATTCACTTAAAGGGCTAATGCTCACCGCGAATTGCCTGAAGACAAGCTCCACGGAGCAACCTTCTCAAGTGTGTTTCGCAGCTTCTTCCCACCGTGGTAAGCTGTGTGATCCCTACAGGGCGCTGTTACCGAGAGAACCTTCTCACTCCTCACCGTGGGAGTAATTTCTCTGAAGTTTTCTGAAATCCATTCGACTGAATTTTCCTGCTCGAAATCAGCTTGTTCGGAGTGTCTCACCTTGCACACGTGAATTTTACTGCAGAGTTCACTGAAATTCTTACTGAAGTATACTGCAGAGTTCAACTGAATCAAGTCTCACCCAGAAGCCATCACTTTCAATTTAAATTCTTTTCTTTTCAACTTTTAAATTTTTCAAGATTTTCATTTTGATTAGAGTCTGTGTCTTGCTCACTCCTCCACTTTGCAGTCATACATACCAGATTTTCGAGATCTACACTGTCGTACATATTTATATACACCACTTTGATTCGATTTGCAGAGCCGAGACTTTCAGTACAGTGGCTGAACTACAATATTTACAGTCGATGATTCCCTTTGCATTCAATTGCCTACAATCAAGATACCACACCTTACAACAATACACCTACCCTCCAGACATTGCTCACACTACAGCACAGCCAGTATCAGCGTTGCCCAGCACTATTACCAGAGAACGGCGGACAAGTCACACCCTCAGAAGCCCAGTTTTCCGCAAGCAACACAGCTACCAGCACTGGCTACGATCAGCACCTACCAAAACAAGCCGCACCTACCTTCCTCAAACAACACTGCTATCAGCGTCAGTCCTACCAGCGCTGCTACCGGCAACCTCCCCTCAACCACATTCACAACAGCCAACCCTGTTTCCAGCCATCATACCCACCCACTCCAACACCACTCTCCACAAAGATCAAACACGTCGCACCCACCAGCACAAGCGCAGCAAAACACACCGCTACCAGCATCAGTCCTACCAGAACTTTTCCCACAAACAGCGCTACATAACAAGGGGCGCCTAACACCGGGGCTCGGTGGCTCACACCCCGGGGCCTCAAAATTGACAACGACAAAACACCGCAGGCACAGATTTTGCCCGCACCAGCGCTACCCAAACAAGTCACACCCTCACAAGCGTAAATCAACACCCAACACCGCTACCAGCATCAGTTACACCGGCGCTGCTCCCACAAGCCCTACTGCTACCAGCAACGACACCCAAACAATCACACCCTCACAAGCACACTTTCCACCAACAACACTTCCACCAACAACACTCCCACCAGCCTCAGCCCTGTTCACAGCGCAGTGCCACTGCTACCAGCAGCACCACCTAAACAAGCCACATCCTCACAAGTCCTTTTTCCACAAACAGCACTGCTATCAGAATCAGTCACACCAGCACTGCCTCTGCTGCTATCAGCATCAGTCATACGAGCGATGACGAGAAGCTCACCGAGCAAAAACTCAACAAGAAGCCACGACCCAACTGGAAGCACGTTGCCAGAGTTCTCCACAAAACAGAGGTCGCTTGCAAAAACGTTGGAAAACTCTCCAAAACCTGTCTTCACGCAGGGGACATGCATTGCAGAGCTCATTGACAGTACGCTCAACACTTTTACTAGTTGCGCCGATTACGGCTTTCTGTTTGTGTCAAACCCCGTTTCCAGGGGCACTACTCTCTACTATTTCTCCTTCCTTTCATTGTCAATGTACAGTTTGCAACAGCAGGGGGCCCATGGGCACATGGATGGCATGGGCCAACGAAGACCCATCCATGTTGCCGTGAAAACGTACCTGCACAAATGTTTAACATATTCTAAAGAGCTAATGCGTTTGTTCAAACATTCAGTTGCGCTGACCTTTCATTCCTGCGGTTTTGCAAGTCAAGTGCTAAGTATTCACTTAAAGGGCTAATGCTCACCGCGAATTGCCTGAAGACAAGCTCCACGGAGCAACCTTCTCAAGTGTGTGTGTGTGTGTGTGTGTGCGCGCTTGTGAGATGAATGGCCCAGACTCCATTGAAAAAGGCCATGTCATGTTTTGCCAACTTAAGGTATGTTTTGCCAACTTAAGGTATGTCGATGCAACCTGGGGTAACTATACATCATGGGCTGGTTGAATTCGTTGATCCCCTTTCACAGATTCTTGCCACCCAACAAATACCTTTCAGTCTTTAAGAACAATCTTGAAAAATATGAATTCAGTTCTTCAGTATGGCAAACCCAAGCAAAGGGAATATTGTATTTAGATATGTTCGATGAGAAAATGCGCGAAATTCACCTTCTACTGCCATCTGTGGTGGCTTTTGTTTCAGCCAACACCTTCAGTTCAGAGAAGAGACGCCACCAAGCACGGCAGCTGCTCCAACCATTGCATACCTACAAATGGTGTATGCACGTCATATATTATCAACAACTTAACAATAACACAGGAACCACAGAAGGGTTTTACTACCTGCGATGCTTTTCTTCTAGTGAATGATTACAATCAGAAGGTAGCAGCAAGTCAGTTCCAGCTCATATATTCAAACTGCATCAACTTGAAAAGGCGTTCAATGTAAGGTGGTGACACTCCAGGCTCCACGGTGCGAGGAAAAATCTGGCGTTCATGATTAGCAGCCTGGGAAGTGGCGAGACTGGTCAAGACGGGTCGCGCCCAGTCAAGTGCCATCAAGCGATAGTGCCGACTTTCGGCGATGGTGCCTGCACGATGACACCAACAAAGCGTCCAATGGCAGCACCCGTGAAGAGTGAGGGAACAAACAGTCCTGGGTGGCCAGGTGTTGACGAGCCGTGCAACAATTCAACCATCTGCAACAGTCATTCCTCTCTAAACAAAACTCTCCTGTCAACTTCTTTGTTCTCTTGTGAACAAGTCTACCAGTTCATCTCACGAAATCGTCAATGCAGCAAGGCCACCTGCAGGGCAAGGCACCCCGAAGGTCAAGATGGTCCTCAGCAGGCCGCAGACAGATATACACTTCCTGGAATGAATGATGGGAGTGGATGGGCATTGCCCCCGAAAGGAAGACCCTTTTTTCTCCACAAACAGGGGGGTGAACTCCACTTCCAAGTTAGTTCCAGGGAGAGTACCTGAAAATAGCCAAGGAAAAGGGCCACCGCACTAAAACAATGCCTTGGCAATGACACTCGGGAGACACTGACAATCAGTCACATCAATTAAGGTCCAAAAAGAGTGGTTGCAATCTAGCACATGCTGAATTGGCCTTTGGGCCCAGGATCAACTGATCTAATCCATCACTTCACAGACTGGAATCATAAAGCTACTTCGCTTGACTCTAAACGGCCGATTGCTGCCCCAAGTTCTGAAGCAAACGGATCAAGGCGGCCAACAGTAGCTCCATCAAAAGGGAGGCAGAGGCTTTCGCATACGCATCATCCGCGGTGCAAAGCTTCAAATGCCCCCGCAGCTGATGGCCTAAATGCTCGGTCTTTGCTTGCAAAGTTGCAGGTATGCAGGGCGTTTCGTTAAGGAAAAGCAGGTTAAAGGAACTCTTGTTCCAAGACCTTCCACCAAGATGCCCGAGCCAGCATCACAGGCTTCGAAAAGTGCATGAATTGCATCAGAGCTTAGAACCCGAGTCATGGCCAGTGGAAACGAGGAGAGCAATGTCACCAAGGCAATACAAGTCACCTGATGGCATGCATCCCACTGGTGGACCATGTGGTTTCGGTTTCACCATGCAACACGGTGGAGCGAACACACGGTGGAGCCTCCAAGACGGGGTGCACACGCTTCCGGAAGGCCGGCGTCATGCGAAAGGCCGACCAGCGGACATTGAGGGAGTTGAAGACTGCTCCAATGAGGCCACCCACAACGCCCAGAACGGCAAAAATGAAGTACCTCAGACGTGCAGGAAAACATAGTACACGTGCAATTACAAAGACACTATATAGATTGCTTTCTAAGCAAAACCCTTGCTTTCTTCCAGAATTCCTGGCCAAATGCTCGATCGGATGGCAGGCGGTGCTGTATTCAACGCTGAAGAGCGTCAGGCCTCACGAGCTTCGGTCCACGGTCCGCCGATCGCGAGAGTCGTTCCCGGTCGCCTTTGGTGTTGGTCGTGTTGAGCACTGAGAGCACAATCGCAGCTGCCATTGCTGCTGTAAATGACTTGATCAGTGTACGTGAAGGGAAAAAGGAGCTGACCTTAAAAATGCCGATGTCACGACGACGCATTTGGTTCCGCAGGTCTTCTGGAATACCTGGATCGCGTTTTATTCCGAACTCCGAACTTACAGCCTTTGCGTGGTTTTTCAACGCTTTGCGGTCTAAAAGCAAAGAAGACTTAATTGATTCTCGTCAGCATGACATGTGTAATCTTTACTCCAACAGCGTGCAAATCGCAAATAAAACATGTGTGGACTTCAAGAATGGAAAGTGTTTGTTCCAAAGAGAGAAATGGAAGCGCGTGTCTAAGCAAGCTGGGATTCCTTCTCTTCTAAGCTCACTTGAACCATTGCTTGTTCGTTGAATACTCAGTGCAAAAACTGCTCTTGTTTATAAAAAGACTATATAAGAACCGAGACATATATATGGAGACTTATATATGTGAGCTCACACTGTAGAGTTTCTGCCTGCAAATTGTTTTGTTGTCTGAAGTGAGGTGATGCCGCCCGACATGGACTTCCTATGTGTAATGGTGTCATGAGTCATGACCCCTGTTAAAAGGAAAGGCTTCCTATGGCTTCCTTATGCTTCCGTCGTTTCTTCGCGTGCGGCGTATTCTGCATGGCTTTCATTTCAGGTATCTGTGCATGCACAGCACCAGGCATTGGTGCTGAGTTGCTTCTTCCAAGCTAAAGAGTACGCCACCCAAAGGTGCTCCAAACGCTGTGCTTACTCCAGCAGCTGCTGCAGCAGAGAAAAGCTCTCGACGTTTGGCTTCATTGGCAAACCTTGGACAATGACGGAAGTGAGAAGGAAAAAGCGACTGTCCAAAAGAAGACAAACCCTTTCGAAGAGTGTCTACAAAAAGCGACACAACGACAGTGGAGACAGGGGAAAAGCTGCATACCAAGAAGCTGTGGAAAAGCCCGTGAGAGCAGTTGAGCCCAGCACACAGCGACATGCACAAGAGGTCCTTCCTTGCCCAATGACATGCCTGGTGCAAGTCGAGCTCGTCTAGTCAGAAACCAAATGAAAGCAATCATGTTGTGGAGAAAATAGCGGTTCACCCCGCAGCCTGCTGCGACAGAGAGCATGAGCCCTGGAACTTTGATGAGCAAAGTGCGCCAGGAGACCACATCTGCCATCACGAATCCGTTCCTGGGCCGCAAGGAACCAATTGTTTGCCAGGCACATTCAGCCCTTCGTTGCCATGCCCACCAGTGGGAAACCCAAGAAGAAGGATGGACAAATGGATGAATGGGTTGTTTGTGACTGTTCAGGAGCTGAAGAATCCCGTGTTTTGGGACACCATGTTGAAGAGTCATGCAAGAAGCATCCTCGCTTTCTTACCGTTGCCATAAAACTTTTGTGGGCTCCACAACATTGTCGGTTTCTCAACATAGTCATCCACGAGATGGTCATTGACACAACATATCGTCTGAGAATGGGGTGGGCAGCTTACTAGCTGAGGTGTTGGTACAGGGAAGAACTGGTTATTGTTTCAGTGTGTGTGTGTGTGTTCAAAAATTGTCCAGCGGACCGTGGGAACGGTTGCTCCGCGTCAGAAACCAAGATTGTTAAGGATCCCTGAGATCTCTGGCAAGTCTGATCTTACTGTTGCAGCTGCGGTTTTGGGGTTCGTAGCAGGATACGTTTTTCGGAGAAAAAACAATTACCAGCAGCTCTTGCCTCCTTGTACCCACAAGCTGGAATGTTGGCTGTAAGCTAGCGAAAACCGCTAGTGCAATCAATCCTTGTATCCAAATTCGTTGGTTGCGTGATTCATCACCAAGATTGCAAACCGACGCTGCTGAATACTACCCACATCCCACTGGGAACATCAGGAGGCTATAAATCGAAAAAAAAATAACAAGAAGTGGCCATTACCAGTCTCTGTGAACCAGTGAAGTCGTAAGCGCGACAGAAACCCCATGCTTGGCCCATGCATGCTTGCCAAACTTAACAAAGGAATGTGCTTTTGTCCGATCAAACCGATGCCTGGGTTCAATATTGTTTTTACTTCTGGTATGCCCGATCCAGCTGCAGCAGGGGCAAAGGCATACACCAGCATCCCGGAGATAAACGCCCACAGCGTACCGAAGCCAACATTGAATGCATACCTTGGTTGTCTCAATAGACTGGCAATTCTTGCAGAAACCGGCCTTAGAAACAAACAACTCTTGATGATTGCAGAGGGAAAGAAGCGGGTCAAGAAGAAGGATGTGCCATACGTGTCCACATACTGGCTTTTGATACCTTGCCACATAAGGCTTTGACCCTGTCATGCCATGGCCCCAGTAGATCCATGAATCCTGCAAGAAGAACAAAAAGGCGCCCCAAGCATCTCATGTCTCAAATGAGGGGAAACAACCAGGAACCCATGTGGTTCATGGGTAGTAACGTTTCAGACCATGCCAAGATCTTCAGGAGTGTTACAAGCGTCACCAAAACCGACCTCTCTCCTCTGGGCAATGTCGGAAGGGAATCCACGGAGGGCTGCACACACCGAAGCGCACCGATGAGAGTCCTCGCAAGGGGGACTGAGGAGCGATCTGACTTCGTGCGGAGTCAAGTGGGTAGAGGGCCCTCTTCTCATGAATCTCCGGGTTAATGCCAAAAAACGCTGCCTTGCACTCCCACATCCAAGCCAGCTCCAGAAAGAGATGAGCAAATACCCACCATAATTGCCAACAACCAGCCCTGCAATAGCCACCTAGGTCAGGAGAACATCAATCATAATGGAGTGTAATTTGCACCTAGCAAAGGCTGTGCAAACATTCGAAAGCAAATGAATTTCCAACTCTGATAGTCAGGACGCCAGGCACGGTTGCAGCAGCTGGTTTGCTCGCCTGCTTCTTGCTCATGAGAGATTTCCTGGCTGCATGTTGCAGCGGTGAACAGGCAAAGCTTTCAGAAGCACATACCTGCTTCCGGAGCACCACTAATCCAACCATTTTGACATAAGCTCAAGTTGATCTTTGAAAATAAATTGAGAATCTGATGGAAGAAGACGACAATTCGGTGGAAGGATGGTGGATCTCCTTCATTGAAACACCGAAGGTCACGAAGACCGCTGTGTTGAAACACGGATGCAGGCTGTGCTGGACTGGCTGAGTGTTTACTCGCGAAAAGAATGCTTTCTTCGCTTTACGGCCTCGCCATGCATTTCTACCGTAGGCATTGATGGCCATAATGCATCTTGAGTCGAATCCGGATTGCCCACGGCCTGGCGAATTTCAGGTGTTCAAACTTGGTTGGCAATGTGGTCATGTGAGAATGACACACACGAGACGTCGCACTACCTACCGTCTTCATGCGACCTATAGTGGTCCCCTTCCCGCAAAAAGACAAGAAAACATTGCTGTGTGAGGACCAGTGGCATCCAAGGCCAATGACCGGCTGGATCCCGACTCAACTGTGATGGCGGAGTCGTTGCCAAGAAGATTGCCTGGCCAAGCAGCAAAACCACCGAGACGAGACGGAAGTCATCACCCGTTCGATGTTGTCTCCTGATGCACTGAAGGTAAAGGAAAACCAAAAACCAGCACTCAAGGCGCTCCCACAACAGGCCATCTGCCGAAAACTGCAACACTGGTGAGCACATGTCACTTCTGAACGCCTCTGCGGTGCTTCTGCAGCTCCAACACTGCATGTTGCCTCCATTGAGAGGGCTCTTCGGTTGATTCAGACCTGAGTACCCCATGCAAACATCAAAACAGCACTGCCCGAGCACAACAAGCACAAGCAGAAATGAAGGCGAAAGGAGACACTGAAATCAAGAACAACCGTAGCTTCAGCTGTCTCCAGAGGAGTCACTGTACTACGCAGCAATGATTCTGTGCAGCACCTCCTTCTGACACAGCCCGCCGGAAATTCGTCATGGGTATTTCCATGCTACAAATGTGTTGCCGCTGCTCTAGTACCTTCTTTCAGTCACTCTCTTCAAGTGTGCTGTCTCAAACCAAAACAATACAGTAAATTCCTGTTCAAACAAGGCCTCCAGGACACCTGTTGATAAAAGAACAAGACACTTGTATCGTTGTATCAAAACAAATTGTACTTGCCAGTGGTCATTGGCTTGAGCAAAGCTCTCCCAATCTGCAAGCAAATCAAAAGGCAAATTCTGTGGTCATTGGCTACGAAAACCATCCGCAAAGACCGCCACATTCTGTGGCTCCTGCCTGGATCAGCATCGAAGGTGCTGTCTCCGGGTCCTGAGACGAGATGTTGCCCTCGACGGGGACATCGAAACACCTCGCGCCTCGACTCCCGAATCGCAGGAATTCCTGGCCTCCTCGGAGTATGCTAAAGCTCAAGAGAAAGGCCATTGACCAAGAATGAAGACAATCAGTCTCTCTCAAGTAAGCGGGGCAAGGCGCATCCAAGCGTTCCATCTGCGGAAATGTGGGATTGATCCTTGAGAGCCGTACCTAAGCAACACCATGACAGTCAGGTCTATTGAAGCGAACGGCAAACTGGGAGATGTGCGGCTCGAAGACCACGTGTTGAAGCCTCGGCACGATGCCGAACACCACTGGCTACGTGTCCCCAACCCACAGGCAAGCTCAACTCGATATATACATAAATAAATAAATATATATATATATACATACATTCTGAAAGGGCTCCGTTGATAGTTCAATTCACTTCAAATGTTTCTTGCAGTACAGAATCACAACCCATGGAGCAAAGGTGAATAATTTCTAGTGTGCCGTCCAGGGCTGTAAAACTTTCAGATCAACATAGATCTGCTGCTGTCTTCAGAGACAATGCTACCACCTGCAGGCATCTACTGCTTCCAACGTCCGCCCATGTCCTGGAGACCCTGCCGATGTGTCCACAAGACCAGCTTCACCTAAAGAAATCAAATGTGGTGCCACGTTGGTGACTTGGCAGAAAGGGGTCTTGCACCTCGTAGTGACGCTGCAGAAGAACCCGCAGGCAGGCGTCCCGAGCGCCTGAGATTGGATTCAACCGTTTACCGCTGTAGACTTCAGGACCTTTCTGCCATAGCTCTGAGAAACATGCCATGTCCGCAATGAAGAGGAGTTGCCTGACTGTCGGCGCTGTGGGTGAGGGACGTGGTTCACTGTTTGGAACAGGCGGGGGGGATCGAACATCTATTGGGGCGGTTCAGGTTTCCAGCACAGGCCACCTGCCACCAATCAAACCGGGCCAACTATTTTTTTTCCGTTGCCTGCAGCGCTTGGACAAGTTGTGGAAGTCCCTGCTAAGGCCATCGTCCTCAGTGCTGCTTGATGCCTTGTTTGAGCAAAGGATGTGTGGTACTTTCCCAACACATTTCGTTCAAATGACTCGAAGGTTAAACAAGCACGTTGGAGATGTTTCAAACGGTTCCTTGGCCTTCCTCAGCCGTTGCACTTGTTGAGCCGGATTGAACTGCACATCACTCTGGCCGCTGTTTGCTCAGCGCCAGGCAGGCCGGCGCAAGCAGCAATTGGCAGCACCTGGCAAATTACGGCAGTGTCAAACTTTGGCAACTGTGTCATGAATGTTTTACATCATGTGTTTTCTTTTCAACTGAGGATCTTACTGCGGAGCTGTCAAACAGCTCCGGCAATTCTGCACGTTTTCATTGGTTCATGCTTGAACCTGAAGACTCCCCATGCAAAATAATTGACAGGATATGTTTCCAATTTAAAATGGCGAGAGCATGTTTCTGTGGCAATTGAACTGGTAGGACAACAAGCATGGATTTTTAGCACCACGACATTTTTTTGTCTGTGAGCAGCATCACCATCCAGGCAAATGTATAGAAGGTGTTTGTCCATGTTTCATTTGCGTATGGTTTTTTCAGTGAAAACAATACCAGCACTGACCCCCAAAAAATTAAGCAGGTTTGCTTTAGGATATATGTCCTGAAAAAAAATCGGGGACGTCATAACACGGGACGCTGCATCACTGTTGCAGTCATACCCACAAGAAAACAAACCCGGACAAGGCGGAGAAGAAAGGGTCCACGGCACCGGACAAAGCCCGGGCATGGACAAACAGACCTGGACAAGGCCTGAAGCAAAACACGCAGACCTTCACAAAGCCTAGACAGCGGCCAAGCAAGAGAGGAAAGAAGATGTGTGTGAGGGGGCAAGGATGAAAAGGAAAACAATTGGAGGGGTCAGGAACCAATGAAACCAAACCTCTTTTGAAAGAGCTAGAGGGACCTGCCTGGTTTGGAATGTACGCGCTGTGTGTGCACCTAAGGTGGGGACAGCTCCCAATGGACCATACAAAAGCTTTGACCGCTCTGCTCACCTAATGGTTTTCTCGTAAGCTGCTTACTTGGATTCAATAATCCGGCAAGTCGGCACGCGTTCCCGGGCAGGGGGAAGATAGAAAAGAAACCGTTCGACGGGTCCGAAGGGGGGCACTCGTCGGGCCCTGGGCTGGCATGAAGCCCGACACACTTATAGAAATGCGTACGGACTTGACTGCGCTGGCCACACGCCAACCTAGGAAAAACATGTACAGAGATCTGATCATCTTTAGTCGTTAGGAGGCCAAGGGCCCAATCCACGAGGTAGTGAAACGACGACAGGTCGAAATGACGGCGGCCGCTCAAGTCTGCCAGTAAGGAAAAGTAGAGTCACGGCTTGGTCAGCAGTTCAAAAAGAAACAAGAACGTGGATTCTGACTCCAGAATCCATATCTTGTAACAGTCATTTGCCTTCTCAGCATTTCCTGCCCATTTCATTCCCCACATTCCATTCTCTAGACTTCTAGAAGTTCCTCTCCAACACCAGTTACTTTTCCGTCGGGCGTTGAAGTTGGCCTTGCATCGCTAATGAAATGTTAGGCAGCAACTTGCTTTTGAACCCGAGCGCTGTGGCAGTTGCACTGATATGAACGGATACTACACATTCAACTGACACCGAATCTCTGCACTATACAATGTGTCATCTATACGTGTACTCTAGGGTGTAAAAGGTTAACACCTCGGCTTGGAGCTTGATGTGACAAATCAAGTCTCCACCTTTCTTGGTACACTTCTTGATCTGTAGAGTTGTTTGATAGCGCACCTTTTGAGCCCACGCGCTCCAGCGGAGTAGTTTTCAACTAGTGAACAGTGCACCTCATGACTGTACATCAGGTTACCTAGTAGGTGCTAAATGTTTCACACGCCGCCTAAAAGTTCGACGTTTTAGTCGCACTTTTTTTTCTGCTAGGTTCCACTTCATCTAAGTGGTCACGGGAATAGGCCACCTAGCAGGTTCAACTCATCTACGTACAAATGATGTACGGACCGTTCCGGCATTGTTTCAATGCTATTGCCACAAAAGACCATTGCTAATTCATCTGCACCAAACTATTGTCATTCCAGTTCAATGCATCGTAGTGCTATCATATGAAGATGCGTGGTTCAGCTGGTGCACGCACCTCCATTTGTTGTCATGCAAAATTCACTCAACATTCATTCTTGGTTCATTCTCAGGTTCTCCACCATCACCATGTGTCGTCTCTGTTGTTGTTGTTCTCCCTGCTTCTGCTGATCCTGTTGCACCATTGTTTGTTGTCTCATCTCCTTCATGTTCACTTTCGCTACTCCAATGATGGAGTGACATCCACATCTCATGATCGGACACTTCATCAAGTCCAGAGTTCAAATATCGAGCCTTCTGACTCGAAGCTCTCCTGATCTTCTTCAGAAGTTCCTCCATCCTCTTCATTGGAACCATCTCTCGCACCCCTTGCAGTTCCATAGTTCCTCCATGGAATGTTGCTAGGATCAAAATATCCTCTGTCTTCACCACCAACCACATCACCTGCTAGCGCTGTGTCGACTGGTAGGGTTTTTTCTCCTTCTCCCAGAAAATCCGGTGAATCATCACGAGGAGAGAGGTCTGTCATTGTAAAGCAGAATTCATGTGCCCTTTGTCGTACTGTTGCACTGCAATCCAACTCTAATGCAGCAAGTGTTGCCCCCAAAATTCGACGCCTCTGTTCATATCGGCGCCGCCTCTCTTCTGACATCTGTTCCCTCTCCAACAAGCAGCTACCTTCTGCCCTGCACACCAGCAGAGCCAAGACTTCAAACAGCTTGCAACAAATTCTTCCAATGCAGTACATATGGGCTGTCAGGTAGGCAAGGCCTACCGCCTGGTATTGCTGGAAAATGATGCATGTTACTCGGTCCTAGCTCTTCTGCTGGCATTCGTGACAGCAGTCCGCGCCATTGGGACGTCGCCTTGGTGCCCTTCCCAGCGGACTTTGCCCCCCCGCCTGCCACAGCCGAGACTGGACTGGCGTGCCCAGTCAAATGGGAGTTTCCTCCTAGTCTACTCACTTTGGAGTCTAGAGCAACGAAGTTTCGAGTCTTGGCGTTTGCTGAGGCAGGAGACACCGTCACTGCTGACCATTTGTTGCAAATGGCTACCTTGGCAGCCGAGCATAAGCCTACTGTGTTGGGCATCCCTGGCCATGTGCCCATTCCACACAATCTGGAATGCACAATAGCTATGTTACAGAGTTTGCATGCCCTGTTCCAATTGCTGACAACGGGCGGTACACTTGTGTACTGTCCTCAGGCCTCTGATTTCGCGAAGCTGGGCACTGCGGCAAGACATGACGTCTTATTGGCAGCCAGCCTAGCGCTGGCTCTCCGGTCTGGCAGATCCACCTTGCAGTAGCAGGAGTTTTTTGGGGCAGGCAAGACGAGATCTCTCACTTTCTTGCTCGCCTGGCTCGCTCTCACCACCCATCTCAAAATTGCAGTCGTGCACAAAGAGAACTCAGCGGGTAGGGCCATTACCAAGCTACTTGCTGCCTTTGAGCAAAAACCGGATCACCGGAGATATTTCATTCGGCCGGTTGGCAGAGAGGAGGCAGAAGCAAACACTGCCTGCACAAGCTACGACCTGCGCGCCGGCGAAGCTGCCTCTTACATTCCAGGCTGCCAAGTTGTCATCGTTACAGCGGGGCTAGTCTGGGACCAAAAAAGGGCAGACCCATTCCATGCTCAACACACATGTGGAAAATGTTGATCTGCTTATCAGCAAAGAGGTGGGCATGTCATCAACTGCATGGCCATAGACAAGCCCGTGCTCGGCGGATTCAATGTTTTTCTGAACCCATCAATGTTGAAGAGTCTCCTGCAGAGTTGCTTTGATGTTTGCGAAGCAACCGCGATCAAATGACTGAGACTTCTGTGCGACGTTGGGATCGAGGCAGCTAAGAACCTGTCGCGTGAAGACCTGGAGAAGTTGCTGGTGCAGTGTTGGACTGTGGCACCTGCAACTTGGATTTCCGAACCATCCTTGCCTGCCCTTTTGAACATGCAAGGAATGTCGGAGGCATTGCAGCCACTGGCTGCTCTCCTGCATGGCGTTCAAAGCATTGACACCTGTGATGAGAGACCCCTACCGGTATGTCCAGCAGAGCATCACCAAGGTAAGGCGCTTACACCTCATCCTAGCCACTGTCGCATTTGACAAGCCTGAAATTTCCAGCCTGCAATGTGGGCCACATCTTCTGGAAGGCACGACAGGCCTTCGGTGCCCGTTCCAGCTCTTGCTTACAGTGAGGTTGTTCTTGGGCTCCTTCCTTGCGAGGCATGGCGCCACTGGACGAAACGTGGCCTAGAGGCAATCAAGTGATCTTCTCGGATGGATGCCTAATTGAGCCCGGACGGATTGGGGTCCGTCAGAGGCGTGTCTTCAACAGGGAGAGGTGGACCCGAGAGGGTCCGGGGGGACGTTAAACTCCGCATATAGCGCAGGGGAGTTGCTGCTAAAGGCCCCCGTCCCTAACGAACCGTGAATGAACACGGTACCTTGGTACTCCCTAGTCGGCGTGTGTTGACCTGTTGGGTGGCCCCACAGGTCACACCCTCATCTTTCTTTGCGGATTGATGTTGGGTGATCGTGCGGGACATCCTTGGTGACTTGGTGGTCTCGATCGGTACACACGTGGTACGGGACCGACGGGTCTCACCTCACCTTGGGTCTAGGTCGGCCACGACCGAAGATGATCCGGGGGAACAGGCAAGGTCGGTGAACCTCTTAGAGACTTGGGGACTCGTCTCGAGGAGGGGTCAACGGGGCAACCCGTTGGCTAACGGTCAAAATTCATCGTGGGTAGCCAAGCTCACGGTGGACAAGACCGTCGGTTCCTCCCTAACAGTGTTAGGGTCCTGTCGTGAGACAGGTGTACCCCATTGGGGTGCATGGGATCGCTAACGACTGGGTCACCGACCGGTCCACTCTCTCCTTTGAGAGTGGGCTCAATGTACAGTCTGGCCACAGTGAGGGTCATCTGCGGGTGATCCGAGCTGTGCTCTGTGCGGACCGGGGTCACTGAAAGGTGACCTAGTTTGACCTCTCCTTGAGGTTGAACCACTCCTTACTGGCAGGAGTCCGGGAACCCTCAGGGGCACCTTGTGAAGGTCCCTTCCTTGACTTGGGTGACGACCTCCCTGGAATGAAATGAATGGGTTCCGTATTCCACGTCCCCTCGGGGTGAACGGGTTATCTGTTCTCTCTTGGGGGAAATGAATGGTTTCGGTCTCCACGTCATTCCTATGGTTGGTTTAATCCTCTTGTCTTGGTTGGGTCTGCGCTCACTTGGTATGGAAAGGGGAGCGCCCCTGGCTGCGCCAGGATGGCCCTCGGGATGCACACTCCCCGAGGTTGAGCTTCCTGGAGGCCAAAGCTCTCAAGCGGCTTTTGCCATCTGTCCGGCCATGAAATGGCCACCCTGGCTGCATATGATCCCGGACGAAAAACTCCGGGTAGCAACCTTATACGGTAGACTACCTACCTCCCCTGGATCTTTAGCTCACAACAGGCTCTCACACTCGTCCGGTACGGTACGAAACCTCTCCCTTACACTTCCGAATACTTCGGAAAACTTCAAATGCTGCACTAGCTGCTCTCAGACACTCGCACCCTTTTCTCACACTAGCCAAACGAATTGGCCTTGAGCCAAAACATATCCCGTAGCACTAAACTATACAAAGAATACACAAAAACATATTAAAAGTCTCTTAAAAGTATCTCCACACACAAAGAACTCTTTCAAAACTTCCGACTACGCTACAAGTCGCTTTCAAACAATTAAGAAACAAAATATTGTACTACCGCCAGGTTCCAAATCTTTCACAAACAAACTTAAACGAAATTTATGCGTCGCAAACTGCAAGCATCGAGCGAGGTGGACATCCCGACATGGAATTTCTTCACCGGACATGGGCTACACCCCTGGTTTAGGATAGAGGAACATCCTTCCATCCACAGCTGTCGTGGCCCTGCTTTCAATTTTGTTAGAGTCTGGGTGCGAGCCTTAGCTCGGGTCCGGAGTAGGCCAGCAGTTGCGAAACAGTACTTCTCAACACGAGTAACTAACCATTGTTGCCCTCCGTTACGCATGGAGTGAGTGCCCAGATGCTGTCGGATAGAGAAGGGTCTCGGCGTGGCGGTGATGTCGACAACTGCAAATCGTCCACCTGCCAGACACAGTAGTCGGTCATTGGTGTAGGTGTCAAGTGCTACGGGTAGTGGTCGCCCCAAGATGCAAGTATTTCGGCACCATGGCATTCGATGATCTATAATGCAAACGACCTTTGGCGAGAAGACTATCTAGACCCAGCCTCAAAGACCAGCAATGCTTCAGAAGCAGGAGAGGAGCAAGAGTGACGTGGGCAGTGAGTAGAGCCAAGTGCCAGTATTCGAGCGTTAGAAAAGGAGGATTTCCAGGCATATACGGCAAGAAAAATGCACAGACAACAAGTAGAACCATGACCTCTTCTCGCCATCCGTTGCGTAGTGAGCCGATAGGAGCGAGAGCGTGAAAGTTTGACACACAAACTCCTGACGAAAAATCAAAAGCTCTCGTGCTCAAAACACCTAGTCAGTCAAGTGTCTCAACGACCCGAGTCGAAAACGAAAGAAAAAGCAGGCAAAAGACACGCACACTTTTCGCCGCACACTTGAGCCAAAGTGACGAACGTTCTCCAAGGTTCACAAATGTTCTCGGGACATTTGTGGACATGCAAAACCATACTCAAAACAGTTCTACGCTTCACAAAGGTTCTAAAAACAGTTGGAAACAACTAAGAGCATAGTCTAAACATCTTCGGGTGTTCTCGGACACCTCATACACAAACTACAAACATATGGAAACATTGAAAGGGATCTTTCAATGTCCTCAAAAGCTAACGAACGTCATTCAAACAAGCCAAAACTCTCCATGGCTTTCTTTGCGGTCTCTAAACAAGTGGTATGGAGTCTTCGCTCCTCAGTACTATAAATTCTCACACCCCCTTTCGAAGCTCACATGCCACTTTGGACAGTGGTCACTCGCTGTTCCAGTAAGCGCTTGCGCTCACAGCAGCTACACAAACCAAAAGAGGTGACTTTCTTGCCTCGCAAGTATTGGCATTGACGGTCAAGGTGGAATTTGGACCCAGTCGAGGTCACAAATACCTCAAGTACCTTGTTCACTGCATTCATCTTCATCCACTCGGAGGTTGCAGTGTTCTCAACACCACTCGGCCGGCCAGCAGCGCTCGACGCAGCAGCACCTGTAGAAGCAGCAGCAGAGACTCTCTCTCTCAACAGCGGCTCTTGCTTCTCTGGCTTATCGGCCATCATCCTCTTCTGTCCCAAAAGGCTCTTCGCCATTCCAGCAGCGCCAAAAAGCTTCACAAGCAAACTCAGCGCGCCATACAACGCCAGCGCAGCAATGCAGCTGCCCTCAAACGACAACATGGCTTCCCGCGCGGACGCCCCACACACACAAACGGCTGCGGAAAAGTTCGGCGAAG